AAACAACTTGTTTACTGATAGAAATATTACGGCTTGCTTCGAAAAGAAACTTCTCCCATTTTATTCCACTTCAGTTTCAGTTTTCTAGTTTAAGTAGTAACAATTTCCTCCACAGCTGCACCAAGAGCACAACATGTGGCCCAGGTGTTCTGCACCAGAATCTATCAGTTTGACTGTTTTTCACTCGAAACGCTCTCTTCATAAGAAGTCATGCTCTCATCAGAAAACCACAGAATCGGAGCATTGGTTGGATTTTCACATGAGGTCGTCCGTACATTGAGAAGAAACAAACTTTCAAAGTTCATGCTCGATAATCCAGGTATTTTATTTTTATTTTATTTAGCCTTTATTTATACAGGTAGTCTCATTGAGCCACGAGAACTCATTTTCAAGAGAGACCTGTTTAGGGAGCAGATGGGGGTTAAGGACCTTGCTCATGGTTCCAGAGTGGAGCGAATGAGGGTGGGGGCAAGTGTGGATGCTTCACCTACCCCACCCACATTTTTGATGTTGTCGGTACTGGGGCGTGAACCGGCGATCTTCCGATCACAGGCCCACCTTCTCTAACCTCTGCGCCACCACTCCCCCAAACGTAAATGTTCAGTCAGGTCATCTGGATGTTATCTTTTTTTTTTTTTGGAGACGTTTCGTCCTTCATCCAAAGGACTTCATCAGTCCGAGGACCCACAGCAGACGTAGTCCCAAAAGCAACACACTCCCATGGTAAGGGAGCACTAAGTTTGTACTAAGTACTAAGTCCCATACTAAGTTTGTTGTGGCTTCTCGGACTGATGAAGTCCTTAGGATGAAGGACAAAACGTCTCAACAAAACAAAACAACAACCAAAAAGAACAAAAAAAAAAGAAACCATCCAGATAAGGATGCACGATATTATCAGCATCGTATAGGTATCAGCCGATATTAGCGATAAAGTTAAATATCGGACGTCTGCCATTCCATCAAAATAACTCACCGATATAAAAGGCGTCCGTTTTTAGTTAATTGTTAATTTAAGAAACAGTCCAGTATATCTATTAATGCACTACTACTTGTGCACTTTTCACTTGTCGCTTGTGAACAGGTTGAGTTTAGATTTGTGAAAATTTACAAATTTGCACTGTTCAGGTGTTATTATTGTGTTAGAGAGGGTAAATGTCATGAATACATTTGACATTAAACATCCAAGTTGAAGTGTTACATCACTTTCATCCCCCTTTTTGGTATCTGCATTTGGCAGAAGCCAAACTGACAAGGACCATGCAGAATAATGTATTTTAATCCCGCAGCAGATAAAGCTATCTAGGCTCTGTAAGTAGGTCTAGGAAAAAAATATTGGTATCGGTATCGGACAAACAAGTTTTAACATATCAGCATATTGGATATCGGCCAAAAATTCAATGTCGTGCACCCCTACGTCCAGATGACCTGGCTGAACATTATTGGATTTTCTACCTGGATTGTTGAGCATGAACTTTGATGTTTTGCACCACTTTGGCTATGGCAGCCTCACAGGAGTCGACGGGGGAGAGGGCGGGCCCCAGAAACCATCTTATCACCAGCAAAACTGGTTGGTCCACTATGTAGATTTGCTGCTTGTGGACTGAGTTTGTTATGGCTCCTCTGACTGATGAAGTGCTTTGGATGAAGGACGAAACGTCTAAAAAAAAAAAAAAAAAGAACCCGTCCAGATGATCTGACTGAACATTATTGGAAGAAGCAAATTAATTTAGGTAAAAATCGTCTGTTCTTGTTTTCTTTTTATTATGTGCACAGCTCAAGTCAGAACGGTAAACTGCTTACAAGTTAAAAGCCAAAAACGTTGGTAATGCTGATTTCCAAAGCATTTAGACAGAATGTGTACCTTTCACATTTTCTAAATGCTCCACATGATCCCTTCATCCCAGCATTTAGGCTGCGATAAGGCTTTCCACAATAATTGTGATGCCCTTTCAAATCAAATGACTGCAGGAGAAGACGAGCAACAAAGGCCATGGCTGTGAGAGTCTCTTCTTAGTCACAGATGTTTTCTAAAGCTGTTTGACTGCCGCTCTGTGAAACATCAATGCCATCTTGTGCCGTGACGGTAGCTGGCTACCTGTCTGTGAATGGCGAGTCCTTGCCAGCCATTCCCACGAAGCTCCTGGGGAGAATTGAGCTGAAGCTGACTAACTCATTTATGTGAAGTGGTGACATGCTGGAGGCTCAGCTGGATTTTATTTTATTTTTTCCGTCAAGCACTAGATCATGATTCATGGGCATTTTGCAGGCTGCGCTTTCATTTCTATGCAGCCTGTTACTGAAGATGAAAGCCTAATAGTAAACCGTCACACCTGAAAGGTTATCGCATTTTCACTAATATTGATGAACAAGTACAGGTGATGATTCGCTGATTAGCCTTTTTAACAGTTTTCATTTCAAATGCATGACTTTTAATCTGCGAGCACGAAGGGAGGAACAGGCGCCAGGTGCTGCTCATGAATCTTGGCTGTGCTTCTCTTGCTTTAGTTAATGCTGAAGTGCATCTGAGTCTCAGACAAAAAAAGAAGCATACTCTTGGATTTAAGATCTAAATCACCTGCCAAGAGAAGCTGGGTTCGGTAAAACAAGGAGAGCATCTGGAAAGACTCAGTCAAGTTGCTTTTTAAACTTTCAGTAAATAGATCACTGTGTTACTGTGTATACTTATACGTGCTTTCTGAAGATTCAATATATCTCCATTCAAGTAAAAATGCAAACTGTTTGTCTGTCTTTGGGTATTCAGATGTACACTATACATGTAAATATTTTCCATTCAAGGTGATATTTATACCGTAATATACCATATTATAAAATACCGTATTATTTTGCATTATTGGCGTTTATCGTAGATCTTAGATACTTATGCAGTTTCTTTTTAAACTTTATATTTTATTTTGCTTTTTTTGAGGTGTAACTAGGACCTTGGGTAAACACTTTCGTTCCACCTCATGTACGACATGTGATGCGACTGACAATAAGATTTTTTGGGAAATTTAAAACAACATATGAGCTTTGTCTCAAATGTCAAGAAGTTCATTTACTGCATGTTAAAAGTGAAGTAAGTTTATTTCGGCTGCTCCCTTCTTCATGGGTTTACCACAGGGGTACAACTCACATGAATTTACAAATGTTCTTATTTACATCAACGCTCCTGCAAGCACCCTGCAGATGTTGGACACTGTCTATCACGGTGTGTTAAGATTCATAACTAGCTGTAACTACCGTACCCACCATTGCACCCTGTATTCACTGGTTAACTGGTCATCATTAACTTCATGCAGTCTCTCTCACTGGTACATTTTCATCTTTACATCACTTCTTGGTCTGCTGCCTTCTTATATCTCCTCCCACATTTCACATCGTCAGTGCAGCTACAGCGTGCGCTCTCAGGACATTATTACCTGCAGTGTACTCTCAGTGCAGACTGAACTTGGCAAAAGGGCCTTCTCCTGCTCCGCTCCTGTTCCCTGGAATATCTTGCAAAAAGATCTGAAGCTCTCGACCTTGACCTCTCCAAGGGATTTTAAACATCTGTTAAGTTCATGGAAGACCAACGCAGACATGTTCTTGTTTTTAGTATTTTACATCGCTTTATAATGTAGCTGTTTTTGTTTAGTTTTTATACAATTTCTTCTATCCATTCATCCATCCATTATCTTTACCCGCTTATTCCATTTTGTGTCACGGGGGTCGCCGGTGCCCATGTCCAGCAATCACTGTGCGAGGGACGGGGTACACCCTGGACAGGTCGCAAGTCCATCACAGGGCCAATTTCTTCTATTTACTTTTAATTTTATTTGCTCTTTATATGATTGTTCTTGTCTGTACCTTATCTGTGTTCTTTGGGTACCACTTTACAATAAAGCTCCCCTTATAAATGCTAATAAAAATGTATAGACATATTAATACCTCTATAAACATTTTACTAATCATTAATAACTACTTAATATGCATTAATTAAGGGCGATAAAGAGACAAAACTGAGCAGTTTTTTGCTAAATAGTCATCTAGAGTTGTTATATTAAATATTTCAGACTGTTACTACATTGTAAGCACAATAAGCATCTGTAAACCTATTTTTAGGATATAATATTGAACTTTATCACTGCATTGTAAGTATCCACAACTAATGTATCCTAAAAAAAAAAAAAAAAAGATTTACAAATGTTTATTGTGCTCACTTATACTTTAATATAACAAATCTAGATGAAATATATAATGTAGATGAACAGATTTGGCTCACTATTTGGCAACAAACTGATCAGTTTTGTCTCTCTGTCACCCTTAATGCATATTAAACGATAATGATTTATAAAGCGTTTATAGAGGAATTAATAACATGTTTATAAACTATTTATTAGCCATCTATAAGGGGAGCCTTATTGTAAAGTGGTACTGTTCTTTGTTTAAAACAATTTTCTCTTGCAACTGGGTCCTCGTGGCTCAATGAGACTAACCTGTATAAATAAAGGTCCATGTTTTATGCCGGATGCCCTTTCTGACACAAGCTGGGCTCGAACCCACAACCTCAGCATTACAAAGCCACAGCATTGACCAACAAGCTACTGCAGCCTTACTGTCATATTAAAAGTGTCTCCTACAAAATGTTTGGAGCCAAAAAAAAAAAAAAAAGATTATTTATCTTGGATTTCTGCATTTTTCTCTTTCATGGAGACGGGAAGAAATTCAAAATAAACGGATGGCAAACCAAAAATGTTACTGTTTGGTAATAAGTCTCAGTTTTATGAGATTAAATTCAAAAACAATGTGCACCTTGAGATGCTGCGCTCCAGTGAACATAAAAATGTAATCCCAAAGTTTCATTTAGGGGAGTTTGGCTGAACACGGTTGTTTCTTCTGAGCGGGCAGCGCAATATAACTTGGAGCGTTGCCTTTTTGGACTTTGGCTCCACGGCACTATTCCTCTAGATGGAATCAAAAAGCTAATGTATGTTTTGCTTTCTCTCTTTTCTCCACTTCAGCTGCGGTTCAGGTGCAAATCACTCCATCTTATGGGGAGATCAGCGTGGGGGAGTCCAAGTTTTTCCTCTGTGAAGGTAAAACCTCAATTAACTCAGCCTGATGCAGATTTTACCTCGTATGACTTCATTATATGCACTGATTGAGGTCATTTAATAAAACGATGACAGGCAGGTGAAATGAAAAGGATTTTGCTTGTAAAGAAAATATAAATGAATTTAGCAAAATATTATGTTCAGGCATTAAGGGTGACATACATAAGACAGGTGATTATAAGACTTAAATAACTATAACCACATTTTTTTAATGTATCAAACAATTTATGACAAACATTTTTGCTGGTTTTCATTACACAACACTAAAAATCAAGTTGTCAGATGTTTTTTGGGGGGATATACAAAGAAATTGATGTGTGGCTGTGTTCAGCTTTTATCCATTTATTGCCAATAAACTAAAATATAAAATTGTATTTTGATAGTTTGAGCAAACGGATTGGTTGATCATAGAACAGCTGGCCTTGACTAAAAATCTGATCTCTCTCTGCTGCTTTCTAAAGAATTCTACAAATATCAAGTTACAGGAGCAACGCTTTTATGGCATTTTTAAATGGAACATAAAGCACAGCCTTTTTTTATGAAACTGACAGAGTTTATATTTAGTTTTATGCCAAAAGTTTCTTATAGTTTGATCAAAAGTCTTTTAGTGGAAACAACTGTCGAACTAAATTAGGAACCATGTGTGTTCTTTATTAGACGGGACGTCGTTAATGTATTTCTGCAAAACAAAAACGGTTTCCTTCATGGAAACTGAATAAGGAGAAATGCTTGGATTCTTCTGTCGCTGAGAGTTGCCCCCAATTGAATAAATACAAATTATTTATACCACTTTTTAATCATATCATGCACTCATGATGCATTCATGCATATCATGTTGAAACAAAAACTTCCGTTCCTTTTCAGATCAAATTTTTTTTAAATCATTTTAGTTTAAACACTATTAATCATGCTGAAGTAATTCCACACTTTCAGTGATAAACATAAATAATATAAAAAGAAAAAAATACAATAGTTTAACAAAATCAGCACGCTAGTAAGTATTTTAACCTTTTGATAATAGTATGGCTAATTCAAACAAGAGAAACTGCATTTCCTGCGAAAATACAGTGTGAATGCTTATTGCTGAAAAACACCTCAAGTTAGCTAAAAACATGATGAAATGAAGTGGAAGTAGAACAAGCCTAAATTAGCAGAAGTAAGCAGAAAGAACACATATTTGTTGAGTTAGGTTTAAATAAGCAGAAATGACCACAAAAATGAAGAAATTAGCCAAAACAGGCTGAATTTAGAAAAAAAAATGCATGAAAAGTAGCTGAAAAAGAAAGAAGCTTAAACTACCAGAAGGATGGGAAAGAGATGAAATGAGCTAAAATAATGTGGAAATAGCTGAAAAAGCTCAAATTAGCATGAAACAGCTAAATAGTAGCAGAAATTAATTAAGCTGAAAGTTGCAGAAATTACCCCCAAAATTTGAATTTATCTGAAAACAGGTAAAATTAGCTAAAGACAAACTGCTAACAAGATAGCTGAAAAGATAAACCAAGCTTAAATTATCAGAAGAAAGCAGAAATAGTTTGCCCATTTTAAGATAAGATAAGATAAAACTTTATTGATTCCACAGGAAATTGTTGTGCCAGAGTTTCAGTACAAAGGAACATACCCCAGAAATCACACAAGATATAAAAAAACAGAAAATATAAAAAAATATATATATAAAAGGCCAACAATTAAGTTCTAAACCAACAATTAAGTTCAAAATTGACTAATTTGACTGAAAGAAGCTGAAATTGGCACAAAAAGTGGAAATGTTCAATTAAAAAAGGTGAAATTAGCACAAAAAAAATGCTGAAAAGGCATTAAAATATCTTAAGTTACCAGATGGAAGTGAAGAGAGCACTTTTTTTCTGAATTAGGCTGAAAACAGTTTAAATTGGTGCAAAAAATGTGTAAATAGCTGGAAAAGCTAAAATTAGCATAAAAACAGCTACATAGTAGCTGAAATAGCACAAAAAGCAGAAAGGAACATAACAAGCTGAAATTAGCAGAAAGAAGTTAAAGAAGCACAAACATGTTGTAGTTACCAGCAAGAATCCACAAGGAGCACAACATGGATGAAAAACAAAAACTGCTGAAAGTAGATGAAAAAATATTTAAGTTTGCACAAGGAAGCCAAAAAAACTGAAGTAGAACAAAATGTGAAAGGAGCAGAAAAAGGTTGTAAACACATCTAAAGATTTGAAGGATGTAAAATGAGCTCAATTCCTTTCCAATGAGAAAAAAAGGCAGAAAAGGCTAAATATTTCAAAAAGCTAAAGTTGCACCAATACCAACAGTCATAGCATCCCTCTCCTGAACGAGCTGAACGTTTTGATATACGAGTTGTTGAAATAACACACAAATTGTGGAACGAGAAAGATGCCGAAAAATGTACTAAAGAAAAATGGATCACAGTAGTGTGAATGCTTCATAAACATTCACACTCTTATCATATTTAAGTGTTTTTTATTTATTTATAGCAAACAGGTTTTTGCATTATTTTTGTCAAGGCAGTTTGTGCACCTGCTTCACTGTTCTCTCTGTTTTTTAGTGGTTGGAGATGCTAAAGACATAGACTGGTATGCTCCCAGTGGTGAAAAGATCCTTCCAACCAGGCCGAACATTTCGGTGAGCCGCAGTGATGAAACAACATCGATTCTAACCATTTACCACGCCAACATAGACAATGCCGGCATCTACAAGTGCGTGGCAAGAGATGGGGACAAGGAGGCTCAAGCTACAGTTCAAGTGACGATCTTTCGTAAGTGTTGTGTTTTATACCAAGTTTTTTATTTTCTCTTAAGGTATTTTTAACGTATTGAACATCAACATCACTGCAGAAACTACTGAGCCACTCAGACACCACAAGAGCTGTACACATGATGGACTGCTTCCTTGTAGGAATGCTTCAGTGATACTTTAAACCTAAGTTGAACAGCAATTCAAGAACATAAAACGAATGCACATAAGCACAATATTGGTTTTCTCATTCAGCCCAGGCTGGGGGTCAGGTCTAATGTATCTCATATCATCTTAACCAAAGGCGTAAATGTGTCTGTAATTTTAATGGAAATACAGGTAGCGTAAATTAGCAACATGAAGATCGGCAGAGATAGAGCACGTACTTTTCTAAGTACTTTGTAAATTAAGACAGTTCTTATTCATAAACAATGGCGATCCGTGCAACCTGGAAGTATTTTTTTTTGGCGCATACGGACCGTGCTTCCGTAACAGATGGGGGAATGACCAGCGCTACATCCAGAGTCAAAGCTTTTTAGCTAGCGCGTCAGTATTGCGCGTTGCTAGCATAGCGCTACATCAGTGCAGGCAGTTGTCGACGGGGTTGAGGGGTCGCTTCTGTGGACAGGGCAGGGCACTCTGCTTGTATAATGATAGGGGAAGCACTTTAATAATAATAATAATAATAATTAAGAAATTTGGCAAATTCAGAAATATCAGTAAAGGCTCTGAAAATATGTCACCTGGCCAACGGAAGCCGGAGATTAATGTTTGTACATTTCAGATTACACAGTTTACTATATATAGAATCATATACATGGGGAAATGCTGTTATTTTTAGCACAAGGGATGAAGCTATTTTTAGAAATAGGACTTTACATACTTGAGTCCAGCATTTTCCTCTTATTTGTCTATATTACCCTTAAAGGCATTAACATAACGTCTTAATAGTGGCGTTTTTAGTATGCTTCAAAGATTGGCCATAGCACATGCAACCATCTGTAATAGCATTAAAACTAAATCTAAAAGCCTTTTTAATCAAACCACTTTCATATTAGGTCACTAGTTTAACATCAATCAGTTTTAATATTTTGTGTGTGATTCATTTCTGCTGGTCCTCTATCTGTGATTTATACAAATATAAATATAATATGTTTTAATTTTTACCTTTCTCTGCAGAAAAAATCACTTTCCAGAGAGCGCCCAGTCTGCAGGAATTCAACGAGGGCGACAACGCTGACATAGTTTGTGATGTTGTCAGTTCTCCACCACCAACCATTTTTTGGCAGCACAAAGGCTCCAGAATCCAAGCTTCCAAAGATGGTGAGCAGATTAAACAACGACCAAAAAAAAAAAAAACCTGTTCCTGCACTTGAACTGCTTTCTCACCTTGGAGCCACCGTGCACTCCAATCCACTTGACTCCCTGAGCAGTCACCTCACCTTCCTGCCAATGCCGTCTGCCAGTTCGTGCTTTCCAATCAATTTTCAACACTCTTTCCGAATCTCCCGCTCCCCTTCCCTGTTGTCTGTGAACAAAGCTAAGCATTTACTGCAGGAGGTAGTTGTAGACCTCTTAGATACCACAGGCACTTGGAAGTAGTATATTTAGGCCTGTAGCAGGAATCGGTTGAAAGGATCTCTGAGAGTGGAATGAAGTTTAATTTGTCAAAATAGAAGAACTGTGAAAAACTGAACTTAACAAAAGCAAAAAGGTGGAGAAAGAAAGAAAAGCAAACACTGTAATTTATTTATGTCAATGCTAACAAAAGAGAAAATTGCACTGAGACCCTTTGAAGTGTAGCAGGTTAGCTAACTTAACAACAGGTTATATTGTATTTTCCCAGGAGTGGAGCATCTGTATGGTTGGCAGTCAATAACTGGGTGAAACTCTTTGCTCACTGAAGGATTGCTAGGTTTGCTGCCTGTATTTGTGCTTTTTAACGTCTCTCTCTTTCTATTGAAACGTGTTCTCGTTAGCATATGAAGTATGCTCACCAACTTGAGGCTTGAAAGGAGGCTCTGAGAAGTTTGTCGCTCGCTCCTCTACACATAAAAAAGGCTGTAATTAACTTTGATTTGCAGCGGTTACCATTGATTCCACCATTCAGGTATAATAAGCAGAGCGAACCTGACTAAAAGGAAAAACAAGAAACGATCCACCGAACTTTTCAAATCCGTCTTGCGTTATAATCCCTTTATCAGCGCAGATGCCGGTGTTTTAAACAATTGTAGCTTTGCTGGGAAGATTTCTTGGGAGCCGTGACATTCTGCTCAAGAGAAAAAAGTAAAGAACACCGCAGAAATAAATAGCCTGCAGGAATACACTGATAAGTTTCTGTGAAGGTTTTAAAAATATGGTTATTCTTTTATAATTGTACTGGGTTTGACTGGTACCTATATGGATCTTTTTAACACTTATTCTGGCAGTGAGATAAAGAGAACTCAAGTCTACAATCTTATTGCAGGCAAAAATGGACCAAATCAGATTTTTTTTTCTTCCCATTTATGACTCATATCAGGTTTTTTGATTACCGATAGTCGGCATGTGACCATTTTTTATTTTTCAAATCCAACCCAGATCTTTTTATATGTGGTACCAAATCAGAAATATCTCTAATAAGTTTCAAAGCGACCACAGTTTGAATGGTCATGCCATATTTCATCCGACTTTGACGTCATTGAGGTAGAGCTATGTGAACTGATCCAGGTGTTGAAATCAGTTCCAACCTTGTGCAGTTTAAATCGTGGAGCTCTGCACGACTTCATCTACAAAATTAAAGTATAGTTGCTTCATTGTTGTTTTTTGAACGACTGAGAATCTACAGCAATATTTGAAATTAACCTGATGCATGCTCAGTAATACAGGTAGAAAAATCTCAAAAAGTTAAATCTGGTCCTCTGGATATTCAACATTTTTTGAATATCCAGAGGACCAGATTTAACTTTGTTTAAATATAATATTAACAGTGCTGTTGGACCTTTTCAGTATTAACATGATAGAATCAATTTTTCAGGTTTTTTTTACCTTCTATATGTTGCTCCTGTTCCAAAAGCACAATGTTGACACGGAGTAGCTGGCAAGAGACGATGTCGAATGTAAACACTGGACGGAACAATCGTGTGCGAAAATACTTTAATCGTTTCTGACTGCACAAAACTTCTGCATAGATACACACATGCTAACATGTGTAGCATTCATATTCTGTAAACACAGCAAGCTGCATAACGTCACGTCTTCTGCTCATGCGGGTCACTTCAGAGCCATGGACTGTTCACAGTCTGACAGTCACAGTTAAATTATAAGCTAAGCAACAACACAAAATATCTAATCCAAGCAAAAAATTTGAATTGTGCATTAAGAACTAGAGTTTTAACATAACCCAAGTCTGTGACAATTGCAGCTATACCCAGATATAAGGACCAATGAAATGGAGACCAAGACTAGGGCTGAACGATTTTGGAAAATATTCTAATTGCATTTTTTTTTTTTACCTCAATATTGCGATTGTGATTTAATATGCAAAAAAGTCCATGCTCAATAATCCAGGTATACGATCTAACAATTTTCAGTCAGGTCATCTGGAGAGTTTATTTTTTTGCTGAAACGTTTCACCTTCCATCCGGAAGGCTTCATCAGTCAAGGAAATGACCTGACTAAAAATTGTTGGATTGTATACCTGGATTATTGAGCATGGACTTTTTTTGGTTTTGAACCAGTTTGACAGGACTGTCGACGAGGAAGAGGGCCGGCATAAGAGGAGGGGGGTGTGCCAAAGACACAATCTTAGCACCAACATAACTGGTTTGTTCCACTTTGGAGTAAGCTGTTGGGGGAAGAATCAGTTTTGTGTTGTGTGTTTTCTTGACTGATGAAGCCTTCTGGATCGATGGCGAAACGTTTCAGCACAAAAAAAGAAACCGTCCATATGACCTAACTGAAAAATGTTGGATTGTATACCTGGATTATTGAGCATGGACTTTGTTTTATCATATTACGATATGATTGCAAATGCAATTAATTGTTCAGCCCTAACCAAGACTCAGAATGAGTTCACAGTGTTTATTTACAAAGTGAGAAACAATGCAATAAGCCACAGAGAATACTGGAACCCTGCGGAGCAAAGAGGTGGTTGGAGTTCTTGTAGCCAAGGGTGTTAATATTATTGCAGATTCTCCTTACAGTGGAGGTCGGGGTCAGACGTGAGGAGGGTTGATCCATATGGTTTCAGGTGAAGGAGGTGCATGTGTTCAGGTTAATGGGAGGAAGGTGTGGAGGCAGTTAATGGGGGACAGAGGAGCTTGAGGTCCACAGAGGAGGATTCAGGGAATCAAGTGTAACTCACTGGAGGCCCGGAGATAAATACAAATTATTAATGTTTGGTTTCAAACATGAGTAAAAATCTAGAACAAGACTACCACTGGCAGGCCTTCTGCAGCCTTGTATGCTCCTCGTGCTCATCAAGTCGATGATCAACAGGTGTAGCTGACTAGAGTCTGGCTGTGGGTGCAGGAGGTGGCAGAGCAGAACTCCCATAAAGTTGAGCTTAAAACATTTGGTGCAAATAATGTAATTTCAATTCAGTCAATTTCACCCAAAGCAACTTGCTTTGATTTGGAAATCTTTGGTTTAAAGCTCTGAGTCTTAAATCATCAGTTAAAGCAAGTGAAGTGTTTGGTTTTGCACTTGAACTTGGTCCATTTTCACCTCGGTGTAACCCCTCCCCTGGTGACCACCGGAGTCACCACGATGCTGTGTGAGCCTGCTTTTATTGTTGGACTCCTCTCGTGGAATGTGTTTCTCTCTAGAAGAAAAAAAAAAGTAACTGTAACCAACACTGAAAACTGTGTGTGCAATTTTCCTCAGAGGAGCAATTGACCCAACCATAAGGTCAAACGTTCACAAAAAAACTGGTCATTCATGTCAGCGAGACATAAATTAAGAGCTGAGTGCACAAATGTGTGGAATCAGAATTACAGCATCTCCTTACAATATGCACTTCAGCATAATTAGAATGCAAAGCATGACAATTAAATAACTCACTTGCAAGCCTCAAAAATTATATTGCTCTCAGTGAAATTACTCTTCTACAGCTGTGGTAATAGAAGCTGAGGAGGGCTTGTCAGTTCTCATAAATATTTTAAATAATAAAAAATAAGTGTATATAAAATGTTTCAAATTCTGAGCATGCACCCCTGCCACAAGTCCTAGCTTGTGGGCCATGCCATAAAGTAGAGAAAAACACCGACTTTGTCGAGTTAGGTTTTATTTCATTAAAACATGTCTCAAGAAAAAAAAATAACAGTGTAACAAAAGGAGCTGCAGCACTAAGGGTGGTAGACCCCCTACCAGCCTCAAAAGACATGTCTTATTTTATCCAGACTGCCACGGGTGCTTCCAATTAGGAAAACACAATGAAGCCCCAGCCTTAAACAAAGAATTTTAAACTACCGCTGCAAGGCTAGCGGGGATCCAGGTGGATGTAGCACCTGTGAAAGACTTCACCGTTTTTAAACCAGCACTGTCAGTTACAAATTTTAGAGAAGCTCATTCCTGTCAATCAACCGTGGCGGCTGTGAATTCTGAATCCTGGATTTTCGTGAACCTGAGGAACAACACCTGGCTCCACTGAGACAGCTCACTCTATCAACGCAGGTCATTTAATTATTGGTAAAATATTGTATCAAGCAAAATAGTTCATAAATAAAGCCTGAACATGAGTCTGTGGTGAGCAGATCGGTACTTCCGTACTTCTTCTTACTAATTATTAATATTTATTTTCTTATGTAAAACACCTGGTGAGAGCATTCCTCCAGGTTGGGGGTGAGTCTTTGTCTCAAGCAGAGGAGTTCAAGTATCTGCAAGTTTTGTACACAATTGATGGTAGGATGGAGTGGGATCTTAGCCTCGTCCGGGCACTGCTCCAGTCTCTCCTGATGAAGTAGAAGCTAAGCTGAAAATCAAAGTTTTCAGTTTACATGTCTGTCTATGTTCTTTTCCCCACCTATGGTTATGACGAGTGGATTATGAACAAGATACTGTATACAAGTGGCTGAAATAGACTTCCTTCATAGGAACATGATGGATAATAAGTAAAGAGATCTTTCATTTATAAGCTCAGAGTAGAGCTGTTGCTCTTCTTCATAGAAAACAGTCCATTCAGAGGCTTCTGGTATTTGATTAGGGTCCATCCTGTATGCTGGTCAAGATTCTCAGTCATCCAGGACGTGGTAAATTCAAACAAGTTCAAGACCAAAACAACTGGACTTTATTTGTAACAGAAGACGTTTCGCTTCTCATCTGAGGAGTTTTCTCAATTCAAAGAACAGCGAGTGGGGTTTGAGTTATAAAGCTGAGGTAAGCTAGATACATATGCAGATTGCCCTGTCACTCGTCACAATAGGGGTACGTTAGGGCCTATGTTAGTCTATCTCACAGAGGAGCCACTCTGGTCACATGCATTCTGAACGCCTTCCTGCAGAGGATTTTCAGGCACATTCTAGTGAGAAGAAACCCTGCAGCAGATCCAGACTTTGCTGTAGGGATTATGAATCCTTTCTGGAACAAGGAACACCTTGAGATCTTCCAAAAGGAGCTGAGGCATGTCGCAGGGAAGAAATATGTTTGAGTTTCCTTTCTAAATCTGTTTGATTCTTGACACAATCACAGTTGCAAGATGTATTTAGTCTGACAACCTTTGCCCACAATAATTTGAATCTACGTGCTCAAGTAACTTTTCTTATCTTAACATTTGACATTTATCCTGCAACCAACATACAAAGCTTAAAACAGCCAAAGAGGATATAAAAGTACAATTTTAATAGATACGTGTTCACTAAAATATTCAAATGCATACAATGGTCGTGCTTGTTGGATCGCAATAATCTGAAATATTTTAAAGTGCATGAAACGTGCTCTGTTCTGCTTTTCCCTGATTTTCAGTGCGATACAAGATCATGGAGAATGGCCATCTGCAGATACGTGGCATTAAGAAGAACGATGAGGGAATGTACACGTGTGAGGCTCGTGTCATGGCCAGGGGAGAAATTGACTTGCGGACAATAAAGGTCATCATTAATGGTGAGCGGTCGTATCACTTTCTACACTCTGCCTGACCTGCAGTGAGTTGAATGTCTGGTTCAAAATAGAGCGTTGCAATTAGAATGACTGTCAGACACAGACAATAAGCTTTTCTAAGCCTAATAAGTGGCTCGTAGTGCTCTGCAGGAAAAAATATCAGGTGGCTCATTTGTCCACATGGCCTTTTAGAATTGTATCTATTCATGAAGGTACTGTGAATATAGCAAAACACAAATAGATGCACTGGACTTTGCGTAAACCAGCTGATCCGTCTGTGTGTATTATATGTTCATGCCCTTTAGTTGTGCTTCAGGTTACTGGATGTTTGTTACAAAATAAAAATGACTGAATGATTTAGTCCAGTTTCTTCCAAATATAATGATTTGCTGTAGGAAAAATCAAGAAAATCTTGAGAATAAAGTAGCTTAGGCTAAAACACTAACACACTTTAGGCAAGTCAGACAAATTTGACACTAACTAGCAGAATAGCATATTTCTAAATTACTATGTTCAAACAATTTGTGCAACACATGAAAGATTAAATAAAGAAACAATAATAAAAGCTTGTAGAATGAGCAGAAGGTAACCTTAAACTAGAATCAACTAAACCAAGAATTTCTATAGATATTTATTTCATGTAATTATGATCAGTGTTTCCCATAGATCAGCTCCCTTGGCGAGGCGCTCGTATATTTTTTGACAGGATGGGGGTGGTGGCACGGAGTCGCATCTGTGTTGCCAGTAGCATTTTTGCTAACACGGTTGTGTCGCGCCCTGCGCTATATAATGTTTTCGGCCGGGGGGGGGGGGGGGGGGGGGTGCTCTTTGTGCTCTTGTCAGAATAATCTTTCTTTTAACACCAGAGGTTTAACTGTCCTCGCTTACATGATCAGATTGATCCTACAGTCTGAAAATCCACACTGACATATTGTCAGGCAGGTTTTGTTGGAATAAGATATTTTAGGAAGTTTTATTACATTAAAGTTTAATATGGGCCGTGTCTCAGTTTATGTAGCCCAATTCTTCACTTCAGTTTTCTTCCTGTCTTGTATTTGTGTGATTAAGGTTCAGACTGAGCTACTGAACACAGTGTTACATTTTTTAACAAGATACTTACCTAAGTAATACGTAAATAAAAATAAGTAACTGCATTTAACAAAGAAGAATACCTGACATTTTCAAGCAGGTGCTTGACCAGTTTTAAAAGACATTTTGGGTTTTACCCCCGCAGCACACTGCATGTACTACTTTCCTATTTAAAGGTTGTTGTGCAGCAAAGATAGCTTTAGCAAACAATAAAAGTAAAACTTATGCACATGCTCCCCAGTATGATAGATTTATAGGCTGTGACCTACGTATTCATCAATCGATTCGGTAATTGACTGAATATGTACCATGATGTTTGGTACAAACACATGTACCTGTGCACCCCTGACTGCCATACTTGTGTGTCAATCTAAAATTGCACATCTAACATGTTTTGTTTGTTTTTCTTTTTAGTGCTTCCCACCATTCGAGCCAGAATGTCTGATGTCAACGCGACGGCTGACGTTGGTAGATTTGCTTTGTTGGCTTGTGATGCAGATGGCTTCCCTGAACCCACTGTAACCTGGGCGCAGTACGTCACTTTTCTGTTTTGATCAGTAAAAAAGGGTCAGATTAAGATGATTTATGGTTCCTTTTTTCCAGATCACGTAACACTCATTTTAACTAGGGTAAATCAAAAAAATTACAGCCAATCCATGTGATCGGTATCAGTGATTGGCAGCAAAACAAAAAAAAAAACCTCATTGGAGCTTCTCTAACATATTAAATTTAGCATTCTGATGAGGCGTGTAGAAGTTCCGTCTTGTTGCTGCAGCTAATCTTCATTTTTCTAGTTTCAAGTTTGCTCTTCAAAGACATTTAGCATGGCGTGCTTGCTCTTTTGAATAAAACAAAACCTTTATTTCTCATATCCAAGCTGAAGCTTATGAGCAAAGGTGCCAGTTATGTTAAAACGGTATATTCTTACTAAGCCACAGTACATTAATTTAATAAAAAGGTGCAGATTCACTTATTTTGTTTAGGATTACCTTGAGTTCACACAATGTGTCCAACATCCAGGAATCATTTCTTGTTGTAGGTGTTTGCTCAGGGTGCTGTCACATTTATGGCGCATCGCTGATCACTTTGACGAAGCACCGCAGCAGCCCGGGTGTGAAGACGAACCTTTACGAGAAGCATTAGTTTGCAGAGATGGGAAGTAAATAAAATTACCGAGCTCAGATTTGGCTCACATCTGTCTTCGGTGCAGCTAAACTGATGTGAGATGTTGGACCTGAAGAAGATGCTCAAAGAAGGTTTAGGACAGAAAAACAAGAGAAAATGGGCTGCTGCACAGCTTTTGTTTTTACAAAAAAAAACTAAAAAGCTGTGATTTAAAAAAAAATATATTTAATATTCTCATCAATTATTTTTGTATGTATTGCATTGCTATGTGCCAGATAAGTTAAACCTATTTGTAGCTCGCTCGATGTATCAAAGAAGGCTCGTGATGTGAACCTTTGCTGGGGTTTTTTGTTTCCCTTCTGCTACAGTAACAATGTCGTCCTTGAAGCGGGTGACAAATACAACTTGAACGAGGATGGTTCTGAATTGATAATAAAGGATGTCAAGAAGGTGGATGAAGGAGATTACACTTGCATTGCCAAGAACAAGGCAGGGGAGAAAACGGAGGAAGTCAGCCTGAACGTGTTCGGTAAGAAAATGTCTTCATTTGTGTACACGCTTGCTTTAAAAAGAGGTTTGTTTTTTTGTCTCTTTCTGGCCTTTCTTGTCGCACTCATTGACATTTGCTGCACATTCTTCCACAGCTTTTCCAGTTGCTAGATGTAGAAACACACACAGTGAAGTGCACAGCATGCACCGTTGGAAAGAAATGAAGCTTATTGAAGACATACGTCGTATGCAAAATATTTTATTCAGACAGATACTATGTAGTACAATGTGTGTGGCTTCATAAAATCTAATAACATATTCTGAATACCTGGCCGCAACAATAAAATTGTGTTGTTTTTTTTACTAGCTGTTTTTATTCTACAAACATTTTAAATGAAAACCATCTAGTGTGGCTGAAAACGGACGTAGTGAGCAAGACAAGCCATTTATGACATCATCGTAGAGCATTTGATCTTCCTTCAGTGGATTTTGATTTACTTCATTTCGAATCCAGAACCAGCTATAAATAAACAGTTATTTATAAAACCACAACAAAGGCATACAAGGATATTAAAAGTAGCATTTATCTTGAGGCCTAGCACCTTGTCCGTAAAAATAAGTTGATAATTGTTTTCTAAAATAGCTACCGTTATAGGTGAATAAATCAAACAGTCCATTGTTACTTAAATAAAATCAAAAACTCCTTTTTTTTATTAATCACAACCTATTTCCATTATGCATAAACACAGAATAAAACACATAAATGCACTGTTTAAATATGCCCAAGTAATATAGATTAAGCATTAATTTATGTATTAATATATATATTTTTGCTTACCCTCTCAAAGTAGTTTTGGCTCCTGAACCACGACTGATGTGACTGGAGCCAAAAAGTTCCAGTTTTGTATCATAAGTTCAAAAATGTTAGGGTTTATCATTTTGTTCAATGTTTTTTCTGTCAACAGTAAAGGCCTTCTAAATATTTTTTTAGAGCCCATTATGATTCATAATGTGACTGTTATTAGAAAGTGACATACCTTAAACTTAGAGTTTACCTAGACTAGTTCTGAACGGCTCTTTTTTACGATCCACACAACCAACGAGATCAACCTGGGGTTGCATTTCCTCTTGCGTCCATATTTTGGGAAGTTGACTACAATTGCATGAATGGACCAATATGAAGCTGCTTGGAGATGGTCTTGTAGCATTTAGCTTTTACATAAATATCTATAATCCTCTTTCTGAGCAACCACACCAAACCAGTGGCATGTTTGTTCCCATTGATTAGACAGAATGGCTGATGAAACACTTGAAGACGCCTATATCTAAAGTCAAACCTAATTTGAACCATGACTATATTGCACCGTAATGTTGGTACTTTATGGGTATTGTTAACCCTGTCATACCATTTGAGCATATTTTTGTCAAATAAACAGCAAACCTTTATTTCCAGTTTTTGCTTCACTCTGTCACATACTAAATGCATGTCTGTTTATGTTTTTTCAACCAAAAAAAACAAAAAAAAACTATTTTTTCCATTTCCACCCCTCCTCCATTAAGATATATTTTTAAAAAATCAATTTAGACTCAAAATCTGTATCAATGGACAGCATTTCCACAATTTGATTTCCTTCCAAGGACTCCCTGACTAGAAAAGAGATCCAGATTAGAAAATAATGTTTCAATAAGTCATTCTGTTGTGTTTCTAGTGATACCCAACATCACCTACTTCAACAACCAGACTGCCTCGGAGTTTGACGAGGACGTCACCCTGACCTGCGAGGCCTCAGGTGATCCCACACCAACCATCTCCTGGATGTTTGGAAACAGGGTTTTCACAGAAGGAGAGCAGGTAATCTTAATCTTCAATATCACTGCTAATTCAAAATGAACTGTTTAAATTGATTTATGTGGAAAAACTGTTATTCAGCTGGTTACTTTTAAAATGCCTTTTATTTCTGTCAAAGCATAAAAACTTTCAACAAAGAAGTAAAATAATTAAGTCTCCACTCCAGTTTTAGTCTTTCTTACATCTTTCAGTTGGTTTTACCAAAATCATCTTGTTTATTTATTTATTTTGCTTTTTTTTTTTTTTTCAACCAAAACTTTCACTTGCCCTTTAAATTTATCACAATATAATTAAATAACTCAGTTTGTGAAGGCCAGGAGAGAAAGTTTGCAGTTTGCTATAAAGCCCATTTCATTTAAGTGGCTAACACCAGCCAGCGTTCATTTTTGAAGCTTTACTCTGTATTAATTATAGCCTTTTAAAAATAATTTGTGTAAGTGCTGTAAAAAGTGCCAATTTCACAGAAACGTGGAAATGAGCTGAAAAATGTGAAAACTAGTCAATTATTTAAAATCAGATTGTTTAAGCTCACTGCCGTGTGAAGCGCTGTTGAAAACCCACTTTAGATACAAGTGGCTTTTTTTTTTAAGATGAACATGATGCAAGAAAGGAAAAAAAAACATTAAGGCTATGTTAAATGTGCTTTCATATGTAGTTTTATTTTTATCTTGAAGGGTCGCTGGTAATAACCCTAAACTAAAGTAATTGCATTCCCTGCAAAAATGAAGTGTGACTGCTTATTGCAGAAGAACTTGCTGAAAACAGCTGAAATTAGCTAAAAAAAAATTATAATTCAGAAATGTAGCTGAAAGGGAAGAACAAGCCTCAACTAACAAAAAAAAAGAAGAAACATATTTGCTTAACTAAGTGTAAATAAGAAGAAATAAACAAAACACAAAACATCAAAAATCAGGAAATTAGTTAGAAGACAGCTGAAATTAGAACTGACGAGGCAAAAATAAACTTAAGTTAACAGAAAGAAGTGGACAGAACTGAAATGAGCTTAAAAATGTGGAATTAGCTGAAACGCTAAAATTAGCATCAAAAGAGCTATAGTAGCTGACAGAGCAGACAAAAAGTGTAAACTAGCAGAAAAAAAGCTGAAAGGAGAATGCCAGTAATAAGCTGAAATTAGCAGAAAGAAGTTAGAAGAAGCATAAAAATGTTGTAGTTCGCAGAAATTATATGAAAGGAGCACACAATAGCTGAAATTAGCTAAAAGCAGCTGAAAACAGTTTAAATTTGCACAAAAAGAAGCTGAACCAGAACAAAATGTGAAAGGAGCAGTAAAAGGTTGTAAACAGATCTAAAGAGCTGAAGGATGTAAAATGAGCTCGGTTCATTTCCTATGAGACAAAAAGTGGCAGAAAAGGCTAAATATTTCAAAAAGCTAAAGTTGCACAAATACCAAAACTCACAACACCCTTCTTTTGAACGAGCTGAACGTTTTGATGTATGATTTGTTGAAATAGCACAAAAATTGTGGAACGAGAAAGATGCTGAAAATCATACGGAAGAAAAATGTATCACAATAGTGTGAATGCTTTATAAACATTCACACTATTAAAAACAACAACATGGCAAACGTCTCAAGTAGGGAGAGCTACGGGTGCCATCTTTGTGCATTTTCTCTGGTCCAGTGTTCTTAGCTTGATAATCTCATCCTTACTTTATTTTAAGTCTCTTATCAGTCCATTAAAGTTATTTTGTTTGGGGGCGAAAATCTTCTTAACATCCTCTTCTGACATGAGAGCAGCAGAAGGATGAGTCGTTCAGAGAGAAATGTTGTACCGTGATTGCAGCAAACGGTAATAAGATAATTACCTCGCCGCTTCTAGCAGTTTTGTGGATTTAGAAACACTGGTTTGTTCTTCAGTTTATTAACAACAAAATAATTAATACAAATTGCGATTTCATCTAACCATACAATTTAAATAGTGTGGGTTTTTGTTGTAATAAAGGTTCATGTAACATTTGCTTCAGGGCAGCAAAAAAAAAACAACAAGAAGTAGTTTAAACATAATATTTTAACCTCAAATCAGTCTCTAAGGCTGCCGGCTTTGATTCTGTGGTTCAAAATCACAACTTTATTTTTTATTTTTATCCTGCATCAAACGTGGTTCTTGTGTGAAGGGTGCTTGAGATGATAGAAGCTGGAGAGTGAGCTATTCTTATACAGTAACTGCACTGAAAGCACCTGTCCTGTTGTGTCCCAAAGGACATGAAGAGACTTGGTTGAGAGATATTTAGGCCACACTGGCCTACTTTACTTTATATGCTTTGTCAGCTGTGGCCATTTGATGGATTGTGACTTCAAGCTGCCACGTGGAGCAAACGTAACGTCACATATAATACTGAGAAATTACCCAAGTCTTGGATAAGGGTTAGAATTTTTTTAACATTTTGTCCTTCATCCAAAGGACTTCATCTGTCTGAGGAGCCACAACAAACTCAGTCCTCACTCACATAGTGGGCCAACCAGTTTGATGGTGATCAGATGGTTTCTGGGGCACTCCCTCTCCCCTGTCAACTCCGCTTAGGCAGCTGTAGCCAAAATGGTTCAAAACATCAAAGTTCATGTTCAATCATCCAGGTAGATAATCCAACAAAGTTCAGTCGGGTCATTTGGACGGTTTATTTATTTTTTTGTTGAGACGTTTTGTCCTTCATCCAAAGGACTTCATCAGTCCGGGGAGCCACAACAATCTCAGTCCCACAAACGGCACCCTCACATAGTGGGCCAATCAGTTTGCTGGTGATAAGATGGTTTATGGGGCCTGCCCTCTCCCCCATCAACTCTTCTTAGGCAGCCAAAGCCAAAATGGTTCAAAACATCAAAGTTCATGATCAATCATCCAGGTAGAAAATCCAGTCAGGTCATCTGGATGGTTTCTTTTTTTGAGAGAGGGCTTTCTTCCTTCATCCAAAGGATTTCATCAGCCTGAGGTGCCACAAACAAACTCAATTCCACTCACATAGTGGGCCAACCAGTTTGCTGGTGATAAGATGGTTTCTGGGGCCTGCCCTCTCCTCCATCGACTCCTCTGAAGCAACCATAGCCAAAGTGGTTTGAGTTTGTTAGCATTTGTTAGCACAACTCAGTTTACTGTGGCTTCTCAGACTGACGAAGTCCTTTGGATGAAGGACGAAACGTCTCGTCAAAAAAAAAAAAAAGAAGAAACGGTCCACTTGACCGGGCTGAACTTTGTTGGGTTTTCAACCTGGATTATTGAGCATGGACTTTGATGGTGTGAATCACTTTGACTATGTGCTGCTTGTGATCTGAGTTTGTTGTGGCTCCTCAGACTGATGAAGTCCTTTGGATGAAGGATGAAACATTTCAACAAAGGAAAATAAATAAAATAAAAAATAAACCATCCAGATGACCTGGCTGAACTTTGTTGGATTTTTACCTGGATTATTGAGCATGAACTTTGATGTCTCTTCTGAAATGATCAGCATGGTCTGAAAAATCTTTATTTAACCAAAGATTTCCACAAACTCACCAAGGCCACAACATTTTGAAGTTGCTAAGATTACATGTTTGGAAACTCTGCTTCAAATCTAAAACTTTAAATGTGCACGTTTATGTTCGTGGGTAATCCACAGACAGTTTCTTAAATTTGACTTTTCCCTCATTAGCTGCGCAATTCATCACCGCCGATGAGCGGAAGCGGTCACGGCTGGATTGCGAGTTTCTGAATGTTATCTTCCACCTGCACGACAGGACTTGCCTTGCTCATTTCCATTCACAGTTGTCAACAAATGTCTTCCATTCACAGCCTGTCATCCCCTCTTTTTTCCCCTATCGGTCACTGTCAGAACGATTTCGATTTTATGTTGCTGCACTCAGAAAACGTCTGTGATCATTTGGTAATAGTACTCTAATTTTCTGTGGGTTGTCATTCATCATCGGGTTTCTGTTTGCTGCACTCTGTTGCCCATTTTCGCTCCACATTACGCCAGTGTGATGGTGCAGCGCAGACATTTTCATAATGATGTGCACTGACAGAGCAGTAATTTAACCGACCTGCTGCTGCAGTTTTTGAATGTACCTGTGTTTTTTTTAAAGCACACGATATTGTGTAATTTCAGAAGGTTTTCTGTGTAAAGTTATTTTGCCAGAGATTTAATGAATGAGCAAATCAAAGCCTAGATCAGCAAAAGTGCTGATCTGTAAGAAAAGTCTCCCCAAGTGCCAGCAGTGGTTCACCTATAATTAGTTTCATCGCCTTGTTTTTTTCTCAGGGTGGCAATTCTTTATTACTGAACATTAATTAATAACCAGCTGAGAAGACCTCATGCTGCGTCCTGAAAAATATGCTCCACTTTGGCATTTTGGTCAGTTCTATTTTTTTACCACTTTGCAGCAGACTTGCTAAGCTATTTAACTTTAACATTGCCTTAAAGAATTTAAATAAATCAAGAACATAGAAGTTGATTATAGCAGATATATGATTTTATGCTCTGAATATGTCCAGTGAGTGATTCATGGCAGAATTAATCACATGGACAATGAATAGAGCTTGGCAGGTAAATTGTTTCTCTTCATCAAGTGTGAATGAGAATACCTGTATTTTTTCTCTGCATGGTTTTACAGTAAGACCTTATTGGTACAAAAAAAATTATTTTATAGATGTGTTTTACATTTTCCATGAATTCAACAACAACAAAAAAAAAAAACGGAGAACACATTATGCATGTTTATCCAGATTTGCCCAAATATCCAATAGGGTTATGGCAGACATGTTTGTTATTCAGAGGCACGACACTGATCCGTCCTTTAAGGCAGTGTTTTTCAAAGCGGGGGCCGCCAGGGGGTGCAAGGGGGGGCCTTAGAAAGCTGAAGACAAGATAAACATTATCATCTTTCTGATTGGCTGCAGGTCAAATGTATCACGCTAACTCTTCAAGCTAGCATAGCAAGGACAAAATGAAGTTTCTAAAAAAAAAGTCCGAAGGTACCGACCAGCAGCCCTGCTGTGGTGGAAACTGCTGCAGAATAAACACAGAACTCACAGTCAGCTAAAATTCGAAGGTATAAAGAAGCATACGTTAAGTTTGGCTTTACAGTCGTACAGAAAAATGGCCGTGGTTGCCCAAAATGTGTCCCCTGTCTGGAGATCTTCGTAAACGAGTGTTTCAAACCTTCAAAACTTCAGCGCCACTTGAGTGGGAATATATTAGTGTTTAAAACATCTTAGTTAATAACACTTGTATGCTCAGCAGCTGTAATAATTAATTGAATAAAAGATAAAACATTCTAAAAATTGATGTTTCTTTACATATTTTGTAGTATTGTTTGTGGGTTTGTGAGAGGGGCCTCGGCCAGTAGCTAATGCTGTTTGGGGGGGGCCATGGCATGGAAAAGTTTGGGAACCCCTACTTTAAGATACATGTGTCAAACTCGAGGCTCGCAGGCCAAATCTGGCCCTTGTTAACATCTTATATGGTTCCCCAAGATATTTAAAAAAAAAAAAATTATATATTTTGCCTAAAAACCTGATAAATAATTAATCTAGTGCAGACCTCATGACACTTGACTAACTTTGAAGTCAAGATAGGCTGAAAGGTTGAAGTTTTCAATAATCTTTGGTATTTGATGTGGAAAGAGCAACAGAAAACGTCAAATAAGACGGATCAAACTATTGTTGATGAACCTGCAACAAGAAAAGATGTCAGGTAGGGATGCATGATTTTAGATTTTTGGCCGATATCCGATATGCCGATATGTTAAAACTTATTTGGCCAATAACCGATACCGATATTTGATATACTTCCCTTTGTCAGAACATAACCCTCTTATTTAGGCTTATTCGGTACAAAAATTGTGTAACAGCCTTAAGAACTGGTGACATATATTCAGTAAAAGCCATATGATATGCATAGCACTTTAACTTGTATTAAATTAAAAGTGTTAAATATTATTTATTAGCATTAGTCACCTGCGATGCTGTCTCACTTGTGGAGGCTTGTTCCAGGTTCCTATAGCTGCAGTGTGGGATCCTCTGCACTCATGTGCATGAAGGACAGACTTTTTAAGTTCAAAGTTTTTGTCTATCCATTGTATCGTAAGACTAATCATGCTAACGGGGCTAACGCGACGTCCAGACGTCTGTGGTAAAACTCACCCAAGTGATATTGGCTATTAGCTTCTCGATGACGTCGGAAATGACGGCTTGTAACTCGGGTAAGATTATGTTGGAAAAATATCTCCGACTGGGGACGATGTAGCGAGGCTCAACATAGTCCAAAAATCTTTGGAATCCGACATCCTTAACAAAAAAAACTTCCACATCGCCGACATTTTGAATTTTCCTCTATGCCATGAGATCAGGTAGGCATGTGATGTCATCACGTTGTGCTGCCACTGCAGGCATCCTTGTCACTGGGTTGTCATACAAAACCAGCACCTTTTATATTGGTGAGTTATTTTGATGGAATGGCCGATGTTCGATATTGAACTTCAACGCTAATATCGGCCGATACTGATACCATGCAGATAATATTGTGCATCCCTAATGTCAGGTACTGACTGAAACTGGCCCATGGTTTGGAACGGGGTTTTATGGCCACGATCGGTACGCTTGAATAGTCTAAAGGTCAGGGCTTATTGACTCGTCAATCAACAATAAGAATTTGCTGAAACTCATTAGGTGTTAAAACTGAAGTGAAATGCTGTACAAATTCAGACTGTAGAACTTTAGCACGACCACTTGAGAAGATTTAAAAAGTCTGGCTCCATAAAAAAAAAAAAAAAGATTTGGCCCAAGACTGTAACTCACACAGCAATTTTACGGTCTGTGCAAGAAACCATTTGAGTATGGTCTTGAAAAGCGCCAGCAGTGGGGAAAATCGTGTTTTTAGAACTTTCTTGCACTGAACTGGTGACAGTTTAAGGTGTTTAAAGGTAATGGGTTAAAACAATCATACTCACGGGTGTGATCTGTAGATTTTTGTAGATAAATGCAGTGTGCGTTCTGTCAATTCTTTCCAAAAGCTTAATTTGCTCCAGCATATCGATATCTGTCTCTGCCTCCTTTGTGTTTGTCCTCTTTAGGCTTCTTGGACGCGACCAGACAAATATGAGGTATTGCTACTAAATACTATAGCGTGACTCAAGTAGTAATACCCCAAACTTACACTGTAGACCTCCTCCTTTACCTTTTTTTTATTAATTCATCTAGCTCACATTTAACACGCTCTACATTTTAGTTGTAGCCTAAATGTGTAGGCCATTAGACACATTGTACAGTTCATTTAATCCACTTAGTTCCAGTACACATTTAGCCTTGGCCTATTTCCTTGGCCCTGTTTATTCTTGTCGGCAAATTGAATCTTGAGACACATAGGCGATAACAGTATCTCAGTTATCCTTTTTTTTTTAGCTATGCTGGTATTCTCTTGCTGCATGGTCTGGTTAGTTCTCAGACTTCAAATTATTCAGTGAAGAAAACTATTTATGCACAGTGTTTTAAATAGATCTGCAATTTCACAACATTTAACAGAAACACTGTCTGCTCTGCTGTGAGTGAGCCATGACTCTAACCCACATAACTCAAAACACAGTGTTTTTTTTAATGAAGCATCTTCCTGTCACGGGCAAGGGGTCTGTATGTTTTACTCAAACCATTCGCCCATCTGACCTATTTAATCACCTGGGGTCTAATTTATGCAGGCCCAGTTCGCCCCAATGCTCATGATTATGTACAAAATGAAAGAATAACAAGTGAAATTAATGAAAAATCCAATAACAGCTGGGGTTTTGTTGCAAGACATGCAATCTCTTGGCCTCCCATTAAACAAGTTCCTTTGAAAAGAACCAACATACTAACAAGCTTCTCTCACCGTGCATTCATACCTGTCAACAAAACCAAGACCCACCTCCTCTCATTTTTCATCAATAAAAAAAATCATATCTAAAATCCTAATAGTTGTTTCCTTCTAAAAACTTCTGGGATTTGTGACAGGATTAATTTGTGAAAGTTTAGGTTCTCATGCTTATCTGACACAGTGTTGGCGTCAGACCCGTATTGTCTTACTCTGATCAACTGACTGGATTTCAGCTTTATGGATCAACAGGTCACATATGCATCATAGGTATCAGTAATTGATTGGTTTGTTTGTAAAACTTTGCTTTTTATGCTTTTTTTCATAACAGTGTTATTTAGCTTTTTCTGAGCAAATTACTTTATTGATTATGATGCATATTTCCCTCTTTAGTTGGTATTTCTAAGTTGTTAAAATGGTTTAGAGCTTGTGAGCTAAAAAAAATATACAAAGTAACTCGTATCTGGTTGTGCATAAAAGTAAGTTAGTACTTGCTCCTATGACATTTGTGTATATCTTTGAGTGGAGATTGAAGTTGATGTACTTTTGCAGTAGCAAGAACATGAATTCTATTCAAATAGTATATTTGACTATAGAACTGTTCAAACAAATCAATAGTCGTGGCCTTGCCTTTATGTTACACTGGCTAAAATGAGCCACACACCAAAAATAACAAACTGAATGTGTCATCAAAGCAGCTGAATACTTTTTTTAAGACAGGAGTGTCATTTTGCTGCAGTTCCTTAGATTTTTGTGCACTTTCAAAAACAAAGCGTCCTGACATTTAAAGAGTAGCACGCTCTGATCATAATAATCTGCTCGTCAACAGCTGTGCCAAACAAATCAATTAGGAGAAGTCGGGAAAAAATCGCATGATCGTGACGCATTTATCCTCTCTCTCTCTCTCTCTCTCTCGAGAGAGAGAGAGAGAGAGAGAGAGAGAGAACTTATATACAGTATTAGATGTGTATATGTTAAAAAAAATAAGTAACTGCATTGTCTATTGTTATTGTTGTTTGTACTTTTTATATGTCCTGTCTGGAACAGGTCTTGTAAATGAGTCCTCGTGTCCCAATGAGGCTAGTCTGTATAAATCAAGGTTGAATGAAACCACATTATTTCCATTAATATTGGAAAAAATACTTTCAGGAGGCCGTTGGGTTCCCTCTACAATAATGTGCTACAAGTTACTAAAGTTTTTCAGGGTTGAACATGGTGTGCACTCAGGGGTCATGTTGGTGAGTTGTTTGGTTTGACAGCTTTGACCTACAGTTTTTTTCTGTTAGTTTAAAAACTTGCAAATTAAACTATCTACTGCAGAAAACCTGAAAGAACTCCATACAAGCACAAAACTCTTATTAGAGAAGTTTACGTCAGCATTTTTTTTAATTGTGTCTATGACCTTGAACAGAAAAACGTAAGTATGGAATCTGAAAAAAATAAATAAATCTGACAATTCAGATAAAATATTTACCATTTTTAAAGCCAGTCCACTATAAATAACTTTGTATATGAATGTCTTTAATAGTCTGGCGTGCTATAGGTTAACATTTACATTTGTAAATTCTAAATCTAATCGTCCAACAAAGTTAAGTCAGATCGTCTGAGCGGTTTGTCTTTCATCATTCACCTAGATGCTGTTTATAAGACTGAATGTGTTGCAGCTCCTCAGACTGATGAAGTCTTTTGGATGAAAGATGAAATGTTTCAACAAAAACAAACCATCCAGGGGACCTGACTTGACTTTGTTGGATGTTTCTATTTGGATAAATGAGCATGAATCAGGACAAATCTGTTGCAGTGTTTTAAGTTCTTGGAAAATGTTGATGCTATGTGCAGTTTAGCACATTAGCATGCGAACGCTGGCTCTAATGGTCATTTCTATTTACTGCAGATCTTTAGGAGTAAAAAATAAACTCATCTAAATTACATGACTTTCCTTCTTTTAATCTCTATTATAAAAAAGAAAATCTGTTTTAACCTTAGACACTTGAATTATTTACAGTTTGCACCATTCTGACTAAACCTTTACTTATACTTGTGTTTGTGAAAGAAAAAACAACCAAACAAAGTTTTTAATGCGTTTGTTTAGACCTGCAAAGTGAAGCAATCCACACTTAGACAATCAAGAAAAAAAAAAGTATATTAAGTGTTTTGTTACAAGTCCCTACCACAAAAATATGATATGATGAGCAGTCATAGCTGAATTATTAAAATTTCTTTATTGGACTTAACTAATAAATCACTCAGGCTTTTTTGCGTCTGTATCATTAAAGTATTATTTTCCATTAACCTTTCTCTGTTTATTTTCTAGCAGTGTGCTCGATACGGCAATTTATTTACTCTTTGTGTGTGTGTGTGCGTGTATGTTACTGCAGTGAGACAAGATTAATGCTGCCCTTTCAAAATGTTTCAGGACACTCCTTTAGACTTTCAGTAAACAGCAAAATATTCTGTCCACATCTGCATCACCATCTGTCGAATACAAAATATGTAGCTTTATATATATATATATATATATATATATGCTAATACAAAATGTAGGATTAAAGTACTTGTTAAAAAGTGCCTGAAATATTAAGGGAACATTGTGGCAGCTTGAAGGGAGATGTATACTCTCTGTTGGTGTGAATTGTCTGTTGCCCACAGGGACAAAATAAAACTGTTGTATTCATAAGGGCTAGAGTTTTTATTTTATTTATTTTGAATCACCATGTTTCACTTTAAAAGTATATTACTGAAAACTACTGTCTGGTAACTTTCTTGCAGGAAAGTTTGGAACAATAAAAATGCAATAAAGAAAAATTAAATATTGCATAAATAAATAAAAAAAAGTGGTATATATATATCAAGGATTAAACCAGATTGTGTTGCATAATTATAAAAGTAAGAGGGAAATCGTGCCACCTGTTGGAGCTAAACACATCAGCTCTACAAAACAAGAGACAAGGAGGTGATGAATGAAAATTAAAGCTAGATTTAACAAGCTAATTGCTTTAACTGTGTTCATACAGCTACAGTTAGCATCTATGTAAACCTACAGTGCATTACAAGCCTTTGCAGTTTGTAGATCAGGGCTTTTTACTTGCCCTCCAGGCCATTGTGGGTGGTTTTTAATAATATTTTATTCAAAGATTAGTGTGTGTATGGTGACCATTTCAACACCTTAATACAGTATTTTATCTTGTTTACATCCAAATTTTAAAACATGAAGCCGATGCGATGATGTACGTATCACATAACCAGTAATACTAACAGCAAATTCAAACCAAAGTCCATGCTTCTTCTTCCAGCTCATCATTATTGTGGTATTCTGCCATATCACCTGTCGATCATTAACGCAGTTCCCATCCCTGAACAACAAAGTACCGTCTATCTCAATGAAGGTGACTTGTTTGCATGTCAGACTAATTCCTTTCACTTCTTCTTTGTAGAGCCTTGATAAGAATGTTGTGGTGCGCAGCCACGCTCGGGTGTCCTCCCTCACCATAAAAAATGTGCAGTTCACGGACGCCGGACGTTATCTCTGCATCGCCAGCAACTCTATTGGTGAAGACAACCAGCACATTTACCTGGAAGTCCGCTGTAAGTCACTTTACACTTGACTGAGTGGTCAATCCCTTATTTCAACACAGACTCGCACGTCATCTCTAGTCTTCCTTTTTAATTTGAATTTATGAGCTGTCCAATCCTTGCCATGGTTTGGTTGAACATCTCTACAGTGTTTCTTATTCTCAGAACAAAAAACACATTATAGCTGTTTTTTTTTTTATTTTTCTTACCTTTTGTCACAACTACTGACACAGTCACATTTAAATGACACTACAACTGAGGTAATTTGTATCATGTGCCTACATTTTTGAAGATATTGACAATCTTTTAGGATCAATTAAGTTTCAGAAAGTTTAAACTGATACCAAACTGACCAGTCCAAAACATAATAATAATAATAATAATAATAATCAAAAGCAGTTTTGGAGACTTTTTAAAAATCTACTGGGAATATTTCATCATTGCATTTTCCATTCACTTTTACTTCTCAGGATAAATGGCTCAGCAGAATTTTGCTGGGTCAAAGGTCCAAGTTCTGACATCAGTTAGTGCCTTTTTAGGTCTTTATAGTAAGTCCCAATTCTTTAGCTGGGTGTGAACTGCCATGATGAGAGATTTGGTCGATTTAAATCAGACATTTGCAGGATCAGGACAGTAGTTCTGACAATGGTTTTACAGGACAGGGTTATCAGCAGGGACTGTTCTAGAGTCTGACCTTTAGGGATGCTTAGGCCCCTAGTGCTGAATATGGCTTTTGGCTTGAACAACATGGTGGGCATTGGCGTCAGAATCATTTGTAATGTTGGTGGTACACACTGGTGGAGGGTCTGAAGGTCGTCGCCCATAAAATTTTGGACAAATAGATGACATTTCCTGCATTCTGGTGTATTTTAACAGGTTGATAAACATCTACGTTTACCTACGTAAGTAAACACCTGATTCAATAACTATTTTAGAGAGCATCAAGAAGTAGCCTGACCGACAGCTCTCCTTGTGTGAATAGAGCATGCTCCGCTTCTCTCACGCATCCTACTCCATCCCCCCCCCTCCAAATCGAGGTCGCCAATTGGTCAATTGCTGACGAGCCTACTGTATTGATTGACAAGTGGCATTGAAGATCTGACTTGTGCAAAAAATGTCATAGATTTTACTGGCCCGTTTACGTGTCATCATTTATTCTATATTTATTCCAAATTTATTCAATATTTTTTGTGAATCTAAAGTTTGAGGACTGAGTTTCGTTACAAAATCCTAATGATGGTTTCTTTATTTTTCAGGGGTGCTGAGTTAAAATGTTGGGGTGCTTGAGCACCCTCAAAATGAGGCTAAAATCCCCAGGTCTGGTTCTTCTGGGTTACTGGAAATTCTGCTCCATGCGTTTGCTTGACCATGACAATTATCTTCCATTCTATCAGTAAAGAAAAGGGGCTGATAAAAACTACTAATTGGATTAATAAGTCATGTTCTTGGTGTGCTTGCAAGATAACATCAGAATGCAGCGTTGACAGAGTTGTTTGAGGGCTTCCAGCTAGACAGTCTAATCAGCAAATAAGGTGACTGATTCATTGTTGCCAAGTAATTATCGATAAGAAAAGGTACTTTTGTTGTGAGCAGAGCTCTCACTCTCTGTCCTCTATCGCAGCTCACACAATAAAGACGTTATCTAAGGATGGAACCGCCTATCTGCTGCACGGCGTGAACCCATTAGCTGGGCTAGGTTTATCAGGGTTTGCTGCTGAGGCATTGATACAATGGAAACATGTTAAAATATTCTCTGTTTGAGCTCCATTTTCCTAGCAGCAGACGTTTGGCATGAATTTCATGAAGATTTGTTTTGCAGATTTATCTTTTTGGGCTTTTGCTAGTTTTTTGTCATTTGTCAGTGTACTATTTAAGTTTTGGGGGTATTAAGACATCACATATAGACCTTAGTCTGGCCTGGCAAAGGAGGACATTTATTTTATGGTGTGCCATTTCCCTGAAAATGAATTTTATCTGTAGCCTTGATAAGTGCTACCAGACCAGAGAAGTGCTTCAGGGAAGGAGGGAAACATTTCTAATCCCATGAATCTTTAAGACAGAAGATTTTAACCAAGGAGTTTATACCAAGCGTCGTTATAATAGTAACACTTAAAATTTGATTTTGGATAATGAACCCTGAAAAGCTTTTATAGATGAAAATTATCCAGATGTATTAGTGCCTATTTTATTGAAGTTTACCACATTACTAATGTATTTAAATCTGCTTTTTCACTATTTCTCTTACTACTGTTGTCATTTGAGTACCAGAGAAACAGAGTTTGAGAGGTCCAGCAATCAGTCAGGTTGGGATTTCTGGTTAAAATATCCAAAGTTTCATCCCTATAGCCCTCCCAATCATCTTTAAGCAGAATACTGGACATCAAACTGCTCAGGATATACCATGAGTCTGCAACCTTTGCAATAAAAAAAGCCATTTTTGCCACTTTGCTTACTAATTATGATGTCTGGAGATGCAAAGCCTGCTACAAATGTGTACTATCAACTGGTGGCCTGTGGACCACTACAAGTTTGTTGGAGATGGCTTTTCCTGCCAGTGGGGGTGATATTATAAGACAAAAAATGTCTAACTATTATTAACATTTTTTTATATTTTTACGTTTTAATACAAAAGAAACAACGAGATTCATGTAAAGAAAGAAAACATACATAATTTTTAACAATTTTATAAAAATGAAAACACTGAACTCTGCAGGCCGATGTGAGTTCTCTTAATTGATGAAGAATTAAGTATCCTACTTAAAGCGTAAAGTTAAACACAGGATAAAATTAGGCCAGTTTGTTGGATATCCAGTTAAATTTTTAAAGAAAATAAATACTTTTGTTTACTTTGACTTTGTTTTTTGTGTTTTATTCTTAGTGTTATCAAAGTTACTCACCATATTCCTTCTCAGTAACTTGTCTTAAAGATATTCCAAAACTTTCTGGTGGTTTTGAGAGAAAGATCACATTGAGAAACCGCAAGTTGACTTAAAGTGGCTAACAAACTACTAACATGATGCAGTCCACATGTTTTACGCCTTATATTTGTACTAGCTTTCACATATTTGAAAATGACAGATCTGCTAAAACTGGCCATTTTCATTGTTGGTGATAAATTAAATGGAATTCAGTTTTATTTTAGTTTTGATCAAAGTCTGAAAGAGCAGCTGCAGAGGGACCAAAGAGCCACATGTGGCCACAGAGCCGCAGGTTGCAGACCCCTGCTATACCATCAAGAATGTTATAACTGGAAGCAAAATGTGCTCTATAATTAATGCAGAAATTACATAAAAAAAAAGTTGTTTATAAGTTTGATTAAATGGAAAATAAATGCGCTTTTCAAAATTGACTTAATGGTCCTTAATATGCATATGTCAAAATTATGAAGGCATTATTTTTTTGTTTATTTATATATTTTAAATTTCAGTGATGATATATTTTTGGCTTAACAAATGCCTAATACAGTAAAGACATCTTCTTTTTATGCATTTTCAGATACTCCAAAAATCTTGGGTTTCGTGGCGACGTACACTTGGGAAGGAAATCCTGCCAATTTAAGTTGCGAGGTAGAAGCTCACCCCGGAGCCTCGGTGGTTTGGTTCAGAGATGGCATCCAGCTGCCGAGTCCCAACGCAACCAACCTGAAGCTATACAATACACCAACTGTCAATTATCTGGAGGTGATGGACCAGCCATCTTTAAGTTCTTCTGCACTAATAGACAAAGGCATAAAACACAAAGGAGCTGTGAAAGTATGAGAAAACCATATGGGAGTAATAAAGAAACTCAAGATACTAAAGTTATGTGAGACTGCAGAGTGATTTTAAATGATTTGAAAGGCTAATAATTAGTTTTAAACAATGTGAAATGAACTTTTTTCTCCACTCAGCACCCATGTGTTCACTTGTTTTTGCCCCTCAGATTACGCCGGAGTCACAAAATGACTTTGGGAGCTACAACTGCACAGCAACTAATACGATGGGCACCGAATCCAAAGAGTTCCTTCTTATCCAAGCAGGTTTGTTCACAAAAATACTAATAATTTATAAGGTGTTCTAGTTTGTTTCTGTTAATTAGCAAAGTTTAAAATATCACAGTCTCAAATGTTCAATGTGCGCATTACTTAGTCATTTTGAGCGTATCTCTAATACTTTATGTAAAACATAAATATAAAACAAATGAGAAACGCCTTTTATCCCTCTCTTGGTATTTCAGTCTTTACTAGACGACGAGCTGGATAAACAGTTTTAACATTAATCCACATACTTTCAGCAAAATGGCTTCTTGGAACAAAAGCCAAGACAAATTGTTTTAAATATATAAAAGTTTAAAACAACTACACATCATTTCCAAAACAACAGTGTACAAAATGCAGTGCCCATGTCACTTCCTACATTCAGCATTTTAAACAAGCTGGAGAAGGGTGAGCTATATTTGAATAATTATAATGTCAGATGTCGGGAAGTAAAATTAAAAGTATGAATGACAAATAAATGTATGGTTCTTTTTTGCAATAGTTCTTGCTGTGTTAACTACGTTTTCAGAGACGTCCACTTCAGTGGTGTCAAGATGATGCTAATTATCTCGAGATGATTTAACAGGGATATGTCTGTGCATTGTCTGGCTACAGAAATAATCATGCACGTAACCTTGAGATGTCCCACATCTCAAACCAGACAGAGTTGACAAGAAAAATGTTCATGTCCAAGTGGATCTCCACTTCAAGCCTTTCATTTGACTTGCCTTGTCTTTATTTTGCAAATTGCATCAGACACGTAGCAGGTGATAGGTTGCTTAGGATTTCAAAATGCTGTATTATTGAATTAATTGTGGTGACACTCTTACTGCCATTAATATCCTGTGCTTTTGAATTAATTTCCCGCTTAACCGCAAAATTCCTTAGTATGTCTAAAATAGTTCCTTTTAACAGTTCAACCTGACAAACTTTGCGAATTTGTTATTTTACTTGTCTTCATCCATCCATCCATTATCTTTACCCGCTTATTCCATTTTGGGTCACGGGGGTCGCCGGTGCCCATGTCCAGCATTCACTGTGCGAGGGGCTGGGTACACCCTGGATGGGTCGCAAGTCCATCACAGGGCCACATAGAGACAAACAACCATTCACTCTCTCACTCACACCTAGGGACAATTTAGAGTTACCAATAAGCCTAACATGCATGTTTTTGGTCTGTGGGAGGAAACCGGAGTACCCTGAGAAAACCCACGCATGCACGGAGAGAACATGCAAACTCCACCCAGAAAGGCCCCTGGACCGGGGTTTGAACCAAGGACCTGCTCGCTAAGAGGCAGCAGCTCTACCAGTTGCGCCACCGTGCTGCCCACTTGTCTTCATATAATATGTAAAACATACACAGTAGGGCTTAATTTGTAAACCAATCGATGCCAGAACACAAATGGCAGGCAGGCTGGTGCAAGTTGTGGGGTGTGGGGAGGGGAGTTCTAGGGGGTCCTCCCCCAGAAAATTTTGAATAAAGTAGATGTGATTTCCTGCATTTTGGTGTGTTTTAACGGATTGTTAAACATCTAGAGTACACTAGTTGAGCATGCATCATGATATCTGCAGTACATTTATCTACATTTGTAAACATTCCATTTCTGTCAAGCATCCTAGCCCCCCACTCCCCCTTACTTGACGGTTCTGAGCCTGACACTGGACCTGCTTGTTGTTGTTCGACTCCACATGTGAAACCTCCAGGCGCCTCCTCCGTCTGTTCATGGCAGCTGCCTGTAGGTTCCTGCCTGCGTATGACTGCCTGGTCAGCTTGGCACTCACACCCACCACTCTTTTAGGGGCGGAGATTTTTTTAAGGGTAGACGCTGAAATAATACTTGAAGAGGCAGCTTGTATGATCGTAAGTGGCTGTTGTGTTTAAAATGAGTGTTTATGTAATTAATTTTAGTTTACATATCTGATATAAGTTTTATTTGTTCAAGGCAGTCAAATTTGTTTAGAACTTTATTATTGGTAAGCCTGAGAGTTACCGGATCCAAGCAAACAGTTACCGGAACGCACCCTGTCAAAATAAGAGAGTTCCCGAATCTTGTTCCTGTAGGATCCAGCTCAAATTAAGCCCCAGTACACAGCACAAACTTTACAGTATTTATGTAAAGAAAGGGCAAAATAAAAAGATATTGATGTTGTGATGATGTTCAGCTCAAAGTTCTATAATGAAATAATTATGGAAAGTAAGTTTATCACAGAGAAACATTTCATTCGGGTTTCTATGATCTGGAGAGCAGCTCCACAAGATTTAGGGATGCATGACGTGTACTAACAGTTTAATTTGTTGCCCTTTAAACATTCAGAGCTGCTATGGAATTTCAAAATTCAGACAAGATCAAAAGTCCAAAACCTCTGGTAACGCATAAAAATGGCAGCTTTGTTGCTTCAAATATCTTAACAGCTTTTATTTGAATGGGTATCTTAACCATAGTATTGATAGAGTGGTATCAATAAAATATTAAAAATATTTTTATGTTATGCTTTTTGTGTGATATTTACATTGACCTTTCTGTTTGAAAATGGGAGTTTTAACTTGACAGCAATGTGAAAAAATGACAAGTTGTTTCTCATCCCTGCAGGATTCTAGCCTGAGAAGGCATACATTTTCTGTATTATATAGTCTTACCATGACTAAGGTGATAAAAAGATTAAAGCAAAAGTTATATGAGGGGCCCAACTTCCGCCTTTCCATCATAAAGTTCTCCTCTTGAAAGATTAAAACCAGCGAACTTAGTCCGTGGAGGAAAGTCGAAGTATGTGGTGTGCTGTTTCTGCGACCGCGTCGCTCAGTCCTTTAATCATGAATCAAAGTGTTTTACAGGCGTGAACTAAATCTGTCACTGGAAAATCATTTAGTCATGTTTAAAAGTTCTTCAGTCGTCTGCTAACCAGAAGCGTTGTAGCAATAAATGCATTTATGTCCTTGTTAATAATGTGAAAACGTTAGTGACACACACAGCCCTGCATCATACAGAGAAAATAACTTGTTTCTATGCTTGAAAGCAAGAAATTGTTTTATTCCTTGACCCTAACCTACAAACATAAGTCTACACTTACATGTATTTGCTCTATGAGAAAAGTTTATGTTATAAATGTATCAGTATGGTGAACTTTAACATCAGTCAGAGAGAAAACATTTGGCATGACTATTATCTCCAACTATAGGAAGTTAAAAACTTTGATAAAAAGTCTCAGATTTATAACATTTGGACCCTTTGGTGTAGAAATCCCAAGGCTACTATTTTGAAAAATTTTGAGTGATTGGGGCACGGACTGCTTTACATAATAGCTCACAAGACACTGCAGCAAGTGGCAGCTTGGTGTCCGTGACCTTAATGCATCAATAATTAGCCTTCCTTAAAGAAATACGTATTGGCTCGCATGCCAAAATGTTTAACAATAACATTCCCCGTCATCCCAGTGAACAATAAAAAAAATAGCTTTTATACCTAATTACTGCAAAGATTTTTACAACAAAACAAAAGCCAAATAACAGCCAAAAGACAAGCTTAAAGTAAAAGATAGCTGCTGCAACCTTAAACTGGGACACAGCTAAAGAAACAATGACAGAGTTGTTGGTTATTAAAAAAGGGTTGTAAGCTCAATCATCCAGGTAGATAACAATAAAAAAGGTTAAATGATGTCATCTGGACCAGGCGGGAGTGGTGGCGCAGAGAAGGAGGGCCTGTGATAGGAAGATAGCCGGTTCAACTCCCCTTACTGATAACATCAAAAATTTGGGTGGGATTGGTGAAGCACACACACCTGCCCTCATTTTTCTGACTCTGGGCCCTTGAGCAAGGCACTTAACCTACACATCTGCTCCTCCGGGCACCCTAGATGGCAGCTCTCTGCTCCACACAGAGGGCTGTGGTAGCTCGGTCAGGAAGGGCCTAAAAATAATTGCCAAGTCTTCGTGCGACTTAGTTCGCTATGGCGACCCTAGAAGAAGGGAGCAGCCGAAAGAAGAAGAAAAAAGTTCTTGGTTATAGATGAATGTTTGTTGCCATATCTTCCTGACAAACCAGTTTTTTGTCCATAACCCCATCCCCTATTTGACTTCTACATACATACAGGACTTAGATGTGCATCAGCTACATACGGGCAACAATCCTGTATTGAGGATAATTGTGTGAAAAAGTCTAATTCAGTTCAGTTTATTTATAAAGCACCAAGTCACAACAGAAGTTGTCTCAGGGCAATGGACAGAAACATTCATGTACATAGAAAAGCCAATTAGTAAAGTTCTCTATCTAAGGAAGCCAGCAAGACGTGCTGAGTCTTCACTTCATCCCAGTCTCCCATCCTGAGCAAGCACAAAGACAACAGTGGAAAGGAAAAACTCCCATGTAACAGGAAGAAACCTCCAGCAGAACCAGGCTCAGGATGAGCAGCCATCTGCTTCGACCGGCTGGGTTTGAGCGAACAGGAAGGAGAAACAAACCAACACAGAATGACAGGTCCTGGTGAACTTTCTATTAGAGGAAAGTCAAAAACACATGTTAATAAATAAATAAATACAAATAACAGGTAGAGTAGAGCAAGTAAAGGCAGAGGAAATGTGGTCAATTTGTCCTCCACTAGTCTAAGCCTATAGCAGCATAATTAAGGGGTAGCTCAGGAAACCCAAGTCAACCCTAACTATAGGATTTATCAAAAAGGAAAGACTTAAGCCTAATATTAAATGTAGACAATGTTCAGCCTCACGTACAGAAACTGGAAGTTGGTTCCACATGGGCGGATCCTGATAACTGAAAGATCTTCCTCCCATTCAGCTTTTGGAAACTTTAGGAACCGCAGGAACTGCAGACTGAAAGCGAAATGCTCTGTTAGGAAAATATGGAAGAATAAGATCTGCGATATAAGATGGAGCTAGGTTGTTGTGAGCTTTGTATGTGAACAACAATGAAGATTTTAAACCAGGGGTGCCCAAAGTGGGGCCCGTGGGCCAAAGTTGGCCCACCAAGCCATTTGATTTGGCCCGCCAAGCTGTCCTCATTACTATATAAAAATTTCCTTTGAAGAAACAATGTTTACACTCAAACATTCCAAGTTTAATGTTAGATGGAAAGTTGGCCCAATGACTACTGTAATGACACTACACAGCTCGAGTGACTAATTTGTGCATTAATGTTTTAAATTTTAAAAGTTATATTTTATTTTGACAGACTTCATACTGTCTCTCGGCAGTTTCTTGCTGTTGAGTAATGTTTCCTTTGACAAAGCTGAGCATCATGGAGGTGCCCATCACACACCCTTCTGGAGCACCCCTAAATTTTAACTCAGCATCTCTGAAAAATAAAGAAACCATCATTAGGATTTTGTACGGAAACGGTTCTCAAACCTTAGATTCACGAAAATATTGAATAAATGTTGAATAAATATGGAATAAATGACAACAGTCTCAAACGAGACAGTATTTTTTATTTTTTTGTACGAGTTACGCCACCTGTCAATCAATCCTGTAGGCACGTCAGCAACTGACCAGTCAGCGACCTCAATTTGTCCTGAAGTGAACGCCCCTTACCTGCAGAGCTGTGGCTGTGTCGCATTAAGAACACTTTGCAGTCAGAGATTTTAATGATTATTGAGTTTACATGTTTTGTTTCATGTTAATCTACTGTAATAAACCTTTGTAAAATACACCAAAATGCAGGAAATGGAATTTACTTTATTCAAAATTATCTGGGGGAAGACCCCCAGACCCCCCCACCCCATCACCGCCAACGCAGCCTGTTCTATAATGTTCTTTATACAGAATGGAAGGATAAATACCAGTATAATAAATACATGGACTTTACTTAAAGAATTATTTGCATTTCATGTATTATATTATTGCATTTGGCCCACAGCCCTCTGATAGATTTTAAATGTGGCCCTTTCAGAGAAAAAGTTTTGGCACCTCTGCTGTAAACTGTATATGTCTTTGTGTTTTATGATTGTCTTTAATGGATGTTGTCACACAATTTTTCACAGATTTGCTTTCAAAATAAGCTTTTGTAAATAGAAAACTTCTCGTTCTCTGTCTGCAGAGGTCCCTTCGTCACCAGAGATACAAAAAGTGGAACCCTTCTCGAGCACAGCAGTGGTAGAGTTTGAGGAACCGTACTCCAGGGGGGGCGTGCCCATCGTCAAGTACAGAGTGGAATGGCGTTTGATTGGGAAGGAATGGATCAGTAAGGAGTACAATGTTGTAGATGGTGAGGTTCTTTTTTAAAATCTTTTTCTAGATATATTACACACACAGTATGTTGAATTCAAGCACAATATTCAAACACTGAGCGCAGACTAAAAACTGCAGCCATCAAATTTATTCTTTGTGGGATTCAATATTAAATTTGCTATAAAAAGTAAGCCCATGTTATAATCACTTTCATATATTTCCCTCAAAGGTGTAATAAAACCTTTTTTGAATGTATCTGCAGCTACAACTACATCTGCTTTGGGAAATGCATCATCTAAATTTAATAACTCATTAACAATATTGCAGAATAATAATTATAACAATGAAATCCGCCCCTGTTAACTATTTTTAAAAAAAGTTTCTGAAAAACATGTTTACGTGAAAAAGATATACTAGCCAGGAATGTGTATTTGTACAACTAGTATGTAGTTTTAGGTTGATTGCACGAGCTTATCTGATGTTTTCCAAAAACAAGGAAGGTTTTAGCAGCTGATAAAAGAGCTGTGGGGTTATCTGATTGTTTTTAGGTGGATTTTATGTCTTCAGTGGTCCAGTTTATTGCTCGTGATACCAAAGCTGCACATTATGATGAAGGTCATAAATTTCCGCAATTCAATTACCGTGTACCTTACTCTGTTATAAATTACTTCATGTTGGCAAACAAAGGGAATCTGTTTGTCAGGAGGCTCTGAATGAAAAACAACTCAACATTTATCAAATGGAAAAATCAGTTTTAAAAACTTATCCAGCATTTGACCAAAGAAAATTTGTCTGTAATATATATATTTTTCAATCTTCTAACAACCTGTCATACTGCATGATACTTAAGTGTTTTAAAGGGTATGTTTTTGATTACATTAGTCCCTCACTAATTCACACGTTGTGTATCACGGTTTCACTCCCACGGTTTTTCAAAATTCGATTGAACATGACACACAGTTGGCTGATTGCTGGATGAGCCACACGATCGGCATGGGATTTTTATTTAAAATAAATTATTGTAAATTATTTAGCACCTGCTGCACCTGTGTGTAGCCCACGGCTGCAGAAAATGCTTCCTTCTGCAGTGTGTCATATCTCCATTCTTCACCGGAGCAGTGGGCGTGGCCAAAAGAACTTGCAGATGGCAAAGTGCATCAGGAGGCAGGGAGCTGCGATCATGACATTCTGTGCTTTTTTAGAGCATTTTGACTTTATAAATATTCTTTAGAGTATTGCAAGAGTGTGGGAAGGGTTCATAATGCCTTCATATATATATATATATATATATATATATATATATATATATAATTACTACTACTACTTCTTGGACTACTGTATTCCTACTTCACGGTTTTCCACTTATCACTGTGGGGCGTGGTCTCTAACACCCGTGATAAACAAGGGGACGCTGTATAAGATATTTTTGTTGAGCAGGACTTGTTTGTTTTTAGGCCAGTGGTGTCACTGTACTGCAGAAAGAGCTCAACAACATCAAACTGTCAAACTACCGTGTGGTGCTTTCTGTACCAGATGTCATTGTTCTCAGTGTGCGTTCAAGCTGTCGTTCTTTAAGATTGACACAAATTTGTAGAAAGAGTGATGATTTTCTTTTAACGTAACTGCGTAGCATTCATAGCTTCATGAAACATAATCCAGATCTAGGAATGATTTTAGACACAACTTTATTGTTTTCTTTAATTTGCAAGTAAAAAAAAAAAACATTAGGATTTGTTCATTTCTGTATCCAAAGACCAGGCTATCGCCCATTAGCATACAGTTAAATATGGACTTCCCCACTATCTATGCATTCAAACCCTGAAGTCACAAGTTCACTCGTGCTGGTTGAGCAATAAGTACTATGTGTGTGACTGAATTACTGATATACAAAGTGACCAAAGTGGGAAAAACAAGTGCATTCCTGCAGCTTTCACAACGTTTCATGATCATTGTAGCCATGATGAATTTTGAGGTTAGGAAACTCTGACTTTCCCCGTCAGAATTTCAACTTTTGGGAACATTCCAGTAGATTTTTCTGACTTCTGGGTGCAAATAGAACACACCATTTAGCCATTTAAGTGGTGCACCTGTTGCAGTTTTCTGACCGCTCACCGATCTCTAAAAAGTCTGACCTGCCGATTTCGATTTTGGCCGATACCGATTTTGTTTAAGCAACACTGTCAGGTGTTATAATGTCACAATGCATATTCAATTTTCCATCATTTTATTGAAAAACATACCCTTGAACAATTTCCTAGAAACACAAATTTGTTTTAACTGGCCATGAGGTAGTGCTCTGAAATATAAATCAAGTTCAGATAATTGCTGTTAAAACTACATAAAAACAGTAAAATCGGTTTCTCGTGTAAGTATTGGACGATCTCCGATTTCCCAAAATTAAGGAAATTGGGGCTGATAAATCAGTGCACCCCTAGCCGTAAATGCTACAGCTAGTGTCAAACAGTCTAGCTAAAACAATGAATGAAACAAAACATTTAGTTAAGTTTATACAAAGTGCAACATTTTCATTAGCTATCTGATCCACTGGTTGTTACCAGAAATGTTTAAAAGGCCTTCAAGCATTGTCACCGTACCTTTTTTTTTAGCTGTGTAATACGTATGTCTTATTTTTGTTGTGAGCGTTGAATAGACTGCTGCACCAACATGTAATAAACATGTTTGCTACTGTAACAATGGTGTCTAATGCAAACATGACAATAGGTGATGTCAGGAACAGAAGTAGAACACAGTGAGCCAAAAAATGACAGAGAGTACAGACACTGACAGGCCCCAGATAATATCCCTGTCCCGCTGACGGCTTGTAGCGCTCACAAATCTGGATGGTTTTCGTCTTGCCTGCCACATGGGATGTATCAGTCAGTGGCTGACAGGCTTAGCTGTCAGCTCAAGGCCCAAGCGCTGCCTGCTATGCAAACAGTCACAAATCAGAACACATGGATCATGCATGAACAGTAAATGTTACCAAAAATTCCTCATTCAGCCACAACAACAACTCCACCTCAGAGAAACAGCAGGATTTTCAAAGCACTGAATAGACGTTTTCTGTTGAGTTGTAAAATCAGAAATGTTAAACCCCATATTATTGAGGCAACATTGTGTCCAAGAGGAAGAGAGCAATCTTTGAATGAAAATGAATAACTAAGTGGATAAGCTGACTTAATGAAGAGGCTCTTGAATCCTTTACAATATTGTGAACCAGAGCTGCCATCACATGTTTAAAAGCAGTATAGCACCGCCGTCCCAGCGGATGCAGACTGACTGTGGATGCATCCTTTAAATGGGTCTATAAGCTGTCATTTAAATTTAAACAATAAATATTTATTTTATATCGGTAAACACTAATATGTTTGTCTATATTGTGGCATCATGGTTAGACTTTTGTAAATCTTTACATTTCAGTTTAAAGTTGGGCCAAATCTTCACTACAATACACAAAGACCTTGTTTTGCACTTCTTATCTTTGCGTGCTGGGTTCTATAAAAACCAGTGACATCATCAAGGCTGTGTAACATGCCATGATGGAGGTCAACTTTCAGTGTATTGTGACACGCCTATAGCATAGTGCTGTGTAAATATTATTCTCTGGCAAAGGCCAGGGCAAGACCATGGCACTGCACCAGAGATTTAGCTCTGAAACTTGTTCCTGGAGATTGCAAATCACTGTCACTCCTCACCTCACATCAAACCTCCTCCCCATGGGTCATGGGTAGCCTGGTTTAGACTCGAGTCTGACTCAAGCAGCAGGATGACCTGCATCCAAAAGCAATTTGTTGTTTGATGCGGGGAAAAGAGGCCAAGGCAACAGGAGCGGTGCACCCTGCACACAAGCCCCTTGGAGAGTGATCCGCCAGAGGATTGGCTTGGTTTATACCCCTGAGAATGTGCACCAGCTAGCATGACACAACTGTTTTGCTAATTTTAGCAACAACAACAACAAAATGCAACATGGGGATACATCTAGATAACATGATTCTCTGACCTGAGCTGCATGGGATCTGCAGAATTCACCATTTAATTGCCCATAAAGCATTACCAGGCGGGCTCCTGCTTATATCACTTAATGTCAACCCCTTGGGCTTCGTCTACAGCTACACCCTTAAGCTTTTGCAATAAACGTCTTCTAATTGTTCCTCAAATGGAAACACGAGGGGACTGTACGTTTAGTTTCAGTCTGAGACCGAAGATAACGCTGCCTTCCTCTGGGAGTCGGGCAAGCTCTCTGATTTAAATCACAGCTGAAGAACTAACTCGCTCCACTGTTCTTTAAAAATAAAGTTATAGTTTTGCTTTCAAGGACCTCGTCAAGTAACAGTAGCTTAGAAACAGGGCGTACTTGTAAAACAAAATCTTTGTTACAGAAATGCTTGTAGATGTCAATAATATATTGGATATCTTTATTTTTTTGAATTATTATCAGCATTTGGGTTAATTCAGCCCAGATTCCCTTTAGACTGTTGTAATTAAGTTCATTTTATTTGTATAGCGCCAAGTCATAACAAAGTCATCTCAGGGCACTGAACAGAAATATTCATATATAAAAATAATAATTCAATATTAATGATCTGAGGAGCAGACTGCTTTGAATTTAACTCCATCGCAGACTCTCATCTTGAGCAAGAACGAAGGCGACAGTGGAAAGGAAAAACTCCCTCATGAGGAAGAAACCTTTAGCAGAACCAGGTTCAGGACAAGTGGCCATCTGCTTCAACCAGCTGTGTTTGAGAGGACAGGAAGGAAGAACAGATACACAATGGCAGGTCAAGAATCACGTTAAGATAGAAATAGTATCAAATGAAAACTATTCAATTGTAACAATTCATTTAAGGGAATGAGGTCAATTTATCCTCTAGTAGTCTAAGCCTATGGCAGCATAACAAGCCAACCCTAACTATAGGATTTATCAAAAAGCTCAGTCTTAAAACTGGACAATGTGTCAGCCTCACGGACAGAAACAGGAAGTTGGTTCCACAAGAGAGGAGCCTGATAACTGAAAGAGCTTCCTCCCATTCTGCTTTTGGAAACTCTAGGAACCGCAAGTAAACCTGCAGTCTGAGAGCAAAGTGTTCTGTTAGGAAAATATGGAACCATAAGATCTGTAATATAAGATGGAGCTAGGTTGTTGAGGGCTTTGTAGGTTAGAAGTAAGATTTTGAATTCAATTCTGAATTTGACAGGGAGCCAATGGAGAGAAGCTAAAACTGGAGACATGATCTCTCCTACTAACTCCAGTTAAGACTCTGGCAGCAGCGTTTGTAAGTGCACAAAGTAAATGCATACAGAGAAACGTGCCGAAGAGAGCCGAATCTTTAACACCTGCAGGTTCTGTGAAGATAACCTTTTTCAGAAGCAGCGGGAGCCAAATCACTGTGAGCTGGCAAGAAATTTCATCAAAACATGAACCGTTGCAGGGGTGACATATATCTTATTGTAGTGCTAAAAGCCCAGCTCTGGGTTCATCTACGTTCATGCATTCTCGCTGTATTCAGTTTCCTCTTCACAGTCGCTGATGCTTAGTTCACTGTGAAACATCCTCTCATCGACATGTTAATCGAAGTCGTGGTGTCACAGTAATGGGACGATGTTCCTTAAGTCTTTTACTTGTCTCACCCATGAATTTATCCTTTTTTTTTACACTTTTTATAGCTTAAATCCAAAAATCCTGCACATGCGTATGTACAGTATTTCCATGTTGCATGTGCAGATCCTGCCTGAAGCTTAATGCTGCCAAACGAATTCTGTTCGTCCATGAAATTTGCATTTGAAGATTACTCCGAGAGCCCCTGCTAATTGCTTTCTTTTCGTTTTACACCTGATGGCCCTCGTGCTACAGTAGATCTTTAATTTAATTTGTTTTCAGGAAACAAGAAAACCACACAGCCCCACAATAATTATTGTTTGGCCTTTTGTGGGGTTTTTGCTTTCAACTAGGTTGGCCTCATTTGCTCCTGTGCTCATCTTCTACCTATTCACAACAACAATGACTCCTCTCTTGGTCAAAAAGGTTCGACTGAATCTGAAAATGATCCATTTTAAATAATAGTCATCTGACAAGCTGCATTAACATCAACTACTATCTGCTCCTAGTATTTACTTTATTATTTTCTTTTCTTTTATTCTGAAGTGATTTATGTGTACACTGTACAAAATAAAATTCAATAGGACTGAAGCCAAAGTACACATTTAATTTCTGTAACTAAATTATGAAAACAGACAAAGTTCTGCATAACATGGTTTGATAATCTCTTTACTTTTGTTATCTATTCAGGGTAAAATTAGATCAGTAAGTGCACTCTTAAAAATATATTAAATGTTGGACAAAGAAGCGCAGTGAATTTTATAGAAGGGAGAAGAAATGGAATTGGGGAAAGAAAAGTAAAACTGAAATAACAACACAAACAGGCGCACACAAGGTTTTACATCAGTATTTGTAAAATTAACTCAGTTTTCGGTGATTGTAGGTTCAGCTGGCTGTGGCGGTCATCTTTAATTGGGTTGTCATCAAAATATAATCGGATGTGGATGTACATGCAATGATTAAATCCAGCAAGGTTCAGCCAGGTCATCTGGATGGTTTCTTTTTTTGTTGAGACGTTTCATCCTTTGTCCAAAGGGCTTCATTAATCCAAGGAGCCACAAACAGAGTCCCACAAACAGCACACTCACATAGTGGACCAACCAGTTTTGAACCACTTTGGCTATGGCTGTTTGAGAGGAGTCGACGGGGGAGAAGGCGGGTTCCAGAAACCATTTTATCACCAGCAAACTGGTTGGTCCACTATGGGAGTGTGCTGCTTGTGGGACTGAGTTTGTTGTGGCTCCTCGGACTGATAAAGTCCTTTGGATGAAGGACAAAATGTTTAAACAAAAAAGAAATCATCCAGATGACCTGACTGTGTTGGATTTTTTTTTTTACCTGGATTATTGAGCATGAACTTTGATGCAATGATTTAATTTCTGCAAGTTTCAAAAAGTCATCATCTGATTCATGAACTATATAAACAGAAACACATATACAGGCAGGAGTAAAACAAAATGCATTCAATAAACAAATCCCTTTTTACAGACATGACCAGGTTAACCATCGTTGGGCTGAAACCAGAGACGGCCTACGAGGTCAAGATGTCCGCCATCAATGGGAAAGGCGAAGGGGAGAGCAGCGTCGTCAGCCCTTTCAAGACCAAGCCAGTCCGTAAGTCCTCTCTTCTTGTCTCCCTGCTCTTAACAAGCACACCCCCCCCACCTCTGACCTCACAGCTTTGAACCTAATACTGCAGCTCCTTCCACCTGCTTCCAACCCCTCACTCGTCTATTCTCACGCCAAGCCCCACTGTGCTCCTTCGCCATCCAAAGACGGAGCAGTAATTCTCCACGACACCACCACTTCGTAATCCAGCTGTTTAAAATTAACTCCAGAAAGAACCGTTCATCGCGCAGAGGCTTTATTTTCTTTTATTCTTATAATAAATGTATGCACTGTGTACGGCAGACATTACCTCTGTGGTTCACAGGCTTTTTTTTTTTTTTTTTTTTAGCCCACAGCTAAAGTGATTTAGAGATTCCTCTCTGGAAAGTGCTTGTATACTCTTAAATCTGATTTAAACACGAGTGAGAGGATGTGTCCGCTGTGTATTTATAGATCACTGACAGCATGCATTTTTAATATTGTAGCCACAGGTCATGTCCTGCTGAAGGTAGTTTGGGCTTTCTGATGGCGATGCCAGTGCATGATGGAATGCAGACGTCTCTTCTATGTGTTTTTAATGAAAAGAGCTGAGCTGTATGAGAGGCAGGCACCTTAGGAGCACGGGTACTGTCAGACTTGTTTTACTTGTACCGTGCAGCTGCATAAGTTTAAACTGCAGACTGTCCTTCAGCAGCATGATCTATTGCAACCTCATCTCCTCCAACCCACTCCATTTGTCATGCACCCTGGTGACAGACGAAGACAAATCAAAATAATGTGACTGGCAGAGTTCTCATGGAGCATCTGTTAATATTTTTAAGGAGTGGGGGACAGTTATGTAGCTAAAATGAGCAGAAAGGTAGGATTTTGCTGCGGGTGGGCCCAAACAGATCGTTGTAGGTTTAGTTTGTGTGACGTCCGTGCGTGATGGAGTTCAGGGTCACAGCATGAAACTAAAAAAGCAGCAGCGCCGTGAGGAAATAAGTTTATGAGGAGAAACGAGACTCAGAGGTTAGTTGCAGGAATTAGTCTCTTCAGAAATGGGTTTATTAAAGTTCTCATTTTAGTTAGCTGACACACTTGTATTGGATTCGTGACAGAGATGTTTGTATTCCAGTACAATTATTTATATTGAAGATTTATAAAACTCCACATAACATTAAAGTAAATATTTGTTTCCAAGACAAAAAAAAAGTGAATTGTGCCAAATATAATTATTTTTCAACAAGTTCTTATTGTCCAAAAAAAAAAAAAAACTAAAGCAGATTTATTGTTTTATATATTTTTTTTTACCCACTAACAAAAACAAACAAACATTAAAACCTGTGTATTTTTTATGTTTATTATGAAGTAAACTCCACTGGATGTCAAAATAAAAAATGAAATAGATAAAACTGCTGCATTAAATGGATGTATACATTTTCCTTAATACCTTAATATGAGACATGAGTTATTTTTTATACTATAATTATATTATATTATATTATTACTTTTACCCTAATAAGATCATGAACATTATTGTTTTTCACTTTGAGCAGGAAAACTTTTTGTATTTCTTATCTTTAATATTAAAAACTCTTAATCGACAATTCTATTACCGTTTTCTGCATTTGAGCACTAATAAGCAGGGAGGGTTACTTTCATAAAATCATTAATAAATTATTTATTGTTGAGGTGTACATGTAGAATAATGCAAACAACTAAACTGCATTATTTACTGGAAGTCTCTAAAGATTTTAAAAGATTAACAAAGACTGCACTAATTTTTATCTTTGTTTTCTTGTTTTTATCTTTAGAAATAATGATGAGTTTAGAGAAAGGGGTTCATGTAATGTATGTTTTTGTCTCATCACATGTAACATAATAGAATTCAATTCAGTTTATTTATACAGCGTCAAGTCACAACAGAAATAGTTTCAGGATACTGTACAAAAATATTCACATACATAAACAAGCTGATTAGTAAAAGTTCTCTATGTAAAGAAGCAGCAGATTGCAGTGAATTTTCACTTCGTCCCAGTCTCCCCATCCTGAGCGAGCACAGTGGCAACAGTGGAAAGGAAAAACTCCCTTTAACGGGAAGAAACCTCCAGCAGAACCAGGCTCAGGACGAGCGGCCATTTGCTTCAACCGGCTGGTTTGAGAGGACAGGAAGGAAGAGCTGACAAACACAGAATGGCAGGTCCAGGTGTAGGTCCAGGTGTAGGTCCAGGTGTACCCCCTATTGGAAAAAAGATTTAAAAAAAAACACATTAAGGATGGGAAAAAAAATTACAAATACAAAACAGATGGAGTAGAGTAAGTAACGACAGCAGTGAAGTAAAGAAATGTGGTCAGTTTGTCCTCCAGCAGTCTAAGACTATAACAGCAGAACTAAAGGATAGCTCAGGAAGCCCAAGCCAACCCTAACTATAGGATTTATCAAAAAGGAAAGTCTTAATCCCAGTCTTAAAACTGGACAATGTGTCAACCTCTCGGACAGAAACTGGAAGTTGGTTCCACAATAGAGGAGCCTGACAACTGAAAGATCTTCCTTCCATTCTGCTCTTGGAAACTCTAGGAACCGCAAGTAAACCTGCAGTCTGAGAGCGAATTGCTCTGTTAGGAAAATATGGAACAATAAGATCTGTAATATAAGATGGAGCTAGGCTGTTGAGGGCTTTGGACTTGACAAGGAGCCAAAGGAGAGAAGCTAAAACTGGAGAGATTTGATCTCTCCTACTAACTCCAGTTAAGACTCTGGCAGCAGCATTTTGGATCAAATGAAGATTTTTAAAGAAGTATTTGGACACCCAGAGAACAAACCATTGCAATAGTCCAATGATCAAAAATAACACCAAGATTTTTAATATAAGAGCCAGATTAATGCCATCTAAGGAGGGCGGAAGACTGAAAACTTCATACCTAAGATGCTCCGGTCCAAAAACCACAACCTCAGTCTTGTCTGAGTTAAAAAGCAAAAAATGATGGGTCATCCAGGTTTTTATGTCTTCAAGACAATAACTTAAGTAACTGATTGAAATGATCAATTACAAGTGTCACTCATTCAGGTTTGCCAAAAGCGTTGCCCTCGTACGAGTTTGCAATGAGAGTTTGATGCATTTAGTTGTTCTGTTAAAAATGCAACAATGGTGCAAAACAATTCAAGAGCAACAGTTTTAGACAGTTTAATAAAAACAGCACAACACTGTCATAAACGTAGTGCATTTCTTAAAACAGTACATTGCTTTAACATTCACCGTCTTAAGTGTAAAACAGAATTGCAAACGTTTACCATGAAAAACATGAATTTTAGTAAAATAATTATAACTCTGTGTTCCAAAGCTGGCTTTAGTTGACCAATCATAAAGTCTGTAATCCCTCATGAAATGCAGCTGTTTGATGTGTGATTCTTTTTTTTTTTTATTTGCCGAACAAGAATCTGCAGAAAGCAGTCTGTTAGTGTGTAATCCAAGGCTTTCCACCATCTGCAGGGTCTATAAAGTGTCCCCAGTTTGAGTTTAACCTGGCTACAGGTAGAAAGCAGCCAGCCTGTTTTGTCATTCAGCGCTTCAAGTCAGGTTCATGAATAAATCTTTGTTTTACTTTGTACCAGCCTCCCTGTCATGTTTCCATCTGTGCTTCTTCACCTCACTGCTTCTGTAGAAAAAAAAAAATCCCTCCTCAGCTTCCTCTCTATTGTGTCTGATTCAATGCAGCGAAGAGACGTGTTGTATCGGATGTCAGAGTGAAAGGATCGTTCATTTACGCAGCTATTTTTAGCTCGGTTTGCATCTGAGCTTGAACTTTACATAATTTTATGTAAACCAAAGAATGTTTTCGCAGGATGATTAGAATATGGTGCATGCATTTGCCAATATTAAGGTAATTTTTACTTTAGTAATAGCATAGATGCGTTGCTAATTGTGATTTTATAGCTCCCAAAAAAGGATTTTTCCAATATAAAGAGTATTTTTTATCATTAAAAACCGAAGGACAAGAATTTCTAGTGAAGCATTATGGGAGTGTGACACGGGGTTAATGATGTGGCAGGACAGCGATGTCTTTCATTGATCACGTTTCTCATTTCATTGTCTCTCTTCTCTTTGTCGTATTATTTTCTCATGTTTTTTCTTCTGATTTGTATTCCACTGGACTTCTCAGATAATTCTCTCACAAGTAAGTTTCTTTTCATCCCTTCTTTTCTCCACATTTGTATTCACTCCCATTGCATCTTTCGCTTTATTTTGACCATTATTTCAATATTAAACTTAAATGTCTTCCAGGAAAAACAGTAGATGAATAATCAAGTGCTTCCAGAACCGTCATCTGACCATTTTTATTCAATCCTACTTCCTTTAAAGAGTTTATTAATTTTGCTGAAGGCATTTTTTTTTAACAAATACAGTTGAAACCAGAAGTTTACATACACTATTTAAAAAAAATACACACATTTTTTTTTCACACTGTCTGACGTGAAAACGGAATAAACTTTTCCCGTTTTAGGTCAGTTACCAATTATTTTTTTTTCTATTTGTAAAATGCCAGAATAATGAGATAATTTTTAAAGGCAATTTTTTATTACTTTCTTGAAAAGTCAAAAGTTTAAATGCACTTCATTAGTATTTGGTACCATTGCCCTTAAACTTGTATGACTTGGATCAACGTTTTGGATCTCCTTCCACAAGCTTCTCCCAATAGTTGGCAGGAATTTTGGCCCATTCCTCCTGACAGAACTGGTGTTCCTGAAACATTGACTTCGTTATCCTTGAGCCACTTTGTAACCAGTTTGGCAGTACGCTTCGAGTCATTGTCTATTTGGAAGAGCCATATGTGCCCAAGCTTTAACTTCCTGGCTGATGTCTTGAGATGCTGCTTCAGTATTTTTACATAATGTTATTTTGTCATGATGCCATCTATCTTGTGAAGTGCACCAGTCCATCCTACAGCAAAACAACCCCACAACATAATGCTGCCACCCCCGTGTTTCACAGTCGGGATGGTGTTCTCGGGCTTTTTCCTCCAAA